ATTATTAAATTAGTTATTGATTTGATTGACACACACACATACATTCAACAAAAAACACAATTAAATTTTTTTTATTGATAACAACAAATATAAAATAATAGTAAATATTAATTAACAAATATATATATATATATATAATTTTTGTGTATAAAAATCACTACAGCGTGTAGTTAATGTGTTTATACAATAATTTGTCATTTAGTAGTTTAAGCATATATGTAAGGTATGGGCATTGGTAGACTATATATATATACAGTATATACCAATTTATATATAAGCTTATATATATACACTGTATATATATATATATATATATATATATATACTATATATAGTTGTTATATAAAGGTACTGTCTATTTTGTATGACAGTGTGCTTAAAAGTCAGCGCCTATGCGCTGTATTATCACATATACTGTATATACACAGTATATACAGCCTCCCTCCCTGAGCATCAGTAGATGAGATGTATTCAACAAATAGAGAGTAGGCATCACATTATCTCTCTCTCTCTCTCTCTCTCTCTTTCTCTCTCTTCAATTCAGATCCTGTAATGACTTATTGATCTCTAAATATAACGTTTCTATTTCATGAGTATTAAATGAAATATACGGTAAGTGTATAACAGTCTATGTATGTGTATATACTGTATGTATGTGTGTGTGTGTGTGTGTGTGTGTGTGTGTGTGTGTGTGTGTGTGTGTGTGTGTGTGTGTGTGTGTGTGTGTGTTATAATAAAGTGTTGAACATTTTTAAGAGCACAGGTAATAGATTTTTGAAGTCTAAAAATACTATAACCTATTCCTGAGTTATAATTTTATATATCGGTGCTGTATTCCCATGTCATTTATTAAACAACTAATCTCTCTCTCTCTCTCTCTCTCTCTCTCTCTTCTCTCTTTCTCTCAATCTATCCATCTCTCAACTGTACACTAATAAAGCGACAATTTTTTCAATCACTAATATTTTTGATGTGTTTCCGCCTATTAATTTGTTATATCAATTTTTTAAAAAGGGCAAAATATAAAAATCAATTGAACATATTATATATATATAATAAATAATATCCGACAAAAATTTTATATTATAAATGAAAATAATAGAAAAATATTCTTATTATTATTTTTATTATTATTATTATACGAAATAAATGATTTTCTGAAAATAGAAATTAATTTCTTATTTTTTCATTAATATTATTATTATTATTATAAATTTATTTATTCATATACCGTATTATTGTAGTTATATTCAATTATCTTAAAATAAATGAAACAAATGAACGCTAGAAAACAATGTAATTCAGTAATAATAATAATAATAATAATAATAAAAGCATTGTATTTGAAGATAAAACATTAAAACATAAAACCAGAATATATTTATTAATATATAAAAAAATATATTATAATATATAAATATTCATTAGATTAGAGGTTTTTAAAACATGTTTTATATAAATAATTAGATTAACTCTACAAAAAGCAATTCAAGTTATAATTTATATGTCTATATATATATAATACATATTGAGTTATATTTATATAAAACATGTAGTAATGACTTCCTTTGGAAAATAATTTTCATACAAATAAAGAGAGAGAGAGAGAGAGAGAGAGAGAGAGAGAGAGAGAGAGAGAGAGAGAGAGAGAGAGAGAGAGAGAGAGAGAGAGAGAGAGAGATGACACTGTAATCCAATGAAGATCATTGATAAGCTTTTATTTCAAGTACCGCTTATGTATGTATAATATGTCTTATGTATAATAATACACTGTATAATACCGGGACTGTCAGTATCAGAGCCGAAAAATATACGGTACTACTAATAGTTGTCTGTTTATTATAATAATAATAATATACAACAACTAGTATATAAAAGTTTAAAGAAAAATTGATTTTCATTTTTGTATAAATAGTTTAGTTTAAAATGTTATTTATTTAACCTAACTCTCTCTCTCTCTCTCTCTCTCTCTCTCTTCTCTCTTTCTATCTATTCATATACAGTGCTATACAAATAAAAACTACTTTATTATGTAAACTTATATTTTATTACTGTGTATATAGTATATTAAAAAATAATGTTAAATCTTTATATTGTACACCACTTAGTAAATGTTTTTTTTAACTATCTTTTATATTATCTATTATATAGAGTACAGTAATAATAATACTCTTTTTGCTTATTATACCCGTATTAAGTGTTTATTAATATAAAATTATATGTATATTATGTGTTATTATTATATCGTTTTATTAATAATATGTAGTTTTTAGATTAACACTTCAAATCTAATATAATGTTTATATGATATTTTCGATAATTTATTATTTATTATTTTGAAATTATCGTTTTATTAATATTTATATTCATTAAGTATATGTTACATGTTTTGACAAGTTTATGGATATATTATATTATATAAACAAAAATTAGATTTTATATTTTTATTTATTGGTTTTATTTTACTAGTAAAACATAAATATAATAAAAAAATATATAAATTACATAACATTATAATAAAATTATTATATTTTGTTATATAAATGTAAATATTGAAAAAATTAATATTTTAATTAACTTTTAATTGCATATAATGACGTATAATTAGATTAGTTTTTTATTATTATCATTAAGCCTTATAATAAAATTTCAATATATTTTTATTACATTTTATCTAATTAAAGCTAATTATACAAAATATATAAAATATATAAAATTTATAATTTGATTTATATTTTTAAAATTTTTTTAATTATAATAAACTAACATTTTTTTTGCTGTTGATTCTATTAATTAATTTATTAAATTACTAACTAATCTAAACAATTATATTTGGATATTAATTTATTAACAAATTATTATTGTTTTAAAAAATTATTATTGTTTTAAAAAATTATTATTGTTTTAAAAAATTATTATTGTTTTAAAAAATTATTATTGTTTTAAAAAATTATTATTATTATTATTATTATTACTCTACTATTATTAATTTGCATAATATTTCATACATTAGTTAATTGATATTAAATAAATATTTAACATTTGCAGAGCAAATATATTTTTAATTTATTTATTATAAAAGTTAATGATATACTCTGTAGATATAATACTGTAATAGTAAGCCATAATATTTACACATAATTGTGAAACAAATGTTTAATAAATCATCAAAAAAAAATAATTATATAAAATAATTTTGTTTTTCAAAACATTTTACAATGTATTTTATTATTTTTTTTTTATTTATTAGTTATTACATTTATTTTATTTGACATAATATTAATAATAATTTTGACAATTTTTACAATATATCAAATTTTGATTATTTTTTTTATTTAAATTTAAATAAAAATCGTTTAAAATTTGTGCAAATTTAATGTATTATAAATAATAAATATATATTTATTTAACTTATGATAAATTATAAAAAATTAATTATATTTTTTGTGTTTAAATATAATTTTTATAATTAATTATTTATAACTAAACAATTGATTAAATGTTTTGTGTGTAAAATTAATTAATTAATTAATTAATACAGTATATATATATATATATATATATATATATATAAAGTGCATTTAATTACTGTATATAAAAATACAGTACAATATATACACTGAACAGCATAAGTAAAAGAAAATATGTATAAAGTGTAGTATAAATATGTATTAAATGAGTCTATCTTTGATGGCTATAAAAATACAAATAATGATATTTAATTAATTTATAATCAATTAGTAAATTAGTTTAAACACTTAATTTGGTGCTATAGTTGAAAAAACTAATGATTTATTAACCAATGTTTAGTTTAAGACAATTGTATCATCAGAGGCCAAACCCGTGATTACACGGGTATTGGTTATCATTTGATTTTACACGTGTTTTTTGGATGATTAAAAAAATATTTTTACATAAATTATGTGTAAAGTTTTGGTAAATATATATTTAAAAATATTTTTTTAATCATCCAAAAAACACGTGTAAAATCAAATGATAACCAATACCCGTGTAATCACGGGTTTGGCCTCTGATGATACAATTGTCTTAAACTAAACATTGGTTAATAAATCATTAGTTTTTTCAACTATAGCACCAAATTAAGTGTTTAAACTAATTTACTAATTGATTATAAATTAATTAAATATCATTATTTGTATTTTTATAGCCATCAAAGATAGACTCATTTAATACATATTTATACTACACTTTATACATATTTTCTTTTACTTATGCTGTTCAGTGTATATTTGTTTCAAATTTAATAATTTTTATAAATAATAAAAAGTTGATTTTTAAAATCGATAGTTTAGTTTTTTTTGGTGTCAATCATTTAAAATTCATTATATGAAACAACATTTAGTTTTTAGTTTCTCGGGTCAACAATAAATACTTGTGTTATTTTATTTTAAATATAAATATTTGTTGTTTTTAAATAGACAATAAAAAGTGATATACATTATTTATAAATATATATAAATAATTAATTATGAATTTTTAATTAAAATTATGATTATTTTTATTAAATTAATTAAATTAGTAGTAATAAAAATTCATTTAATTAAGAAATATGCATAATTTGTTTGTTTCAACTTTTTTTCTATACAATTATTGTATAACTAATATATACTATATATTGATATATTAAAGAAAGTAAAACTGCATTATTATTACTATTTTTTTTAGTTAAATGTATTTATAATATATGATATATATTTATATATAAATATATAAATATTATATATTATAAAAAAACTATTTACAAAATGTTTTTTTGTTGTTTAAATAATTATATTTTGTGTGTCAATAATAAAATTCTAGTTAAAAAATCCGTCTAAAAACTATTGAAATTAATAGTTTATATAAATATTTTATATATATATGTTTTTTTTAAAGTAAATATAAAATACAATAATGTATAATTGTATTGTTAGTTAAATAATAAAAAAATGTTGTTGAGATTTTTGTTTATTTATTATAATATATATAAATTTATATATATATATATATATATTTCTATCATTTTAAGTTAGAGGCGGTCGACCACCTCTGGCCGCCTCCTCTAGTGATCGCAATTTCATTTCACGTTCGCGTTGTTGTTGTCTGTAAATTAAATTATTAAATCAAAATATATAGAAAATTAAATTTTAATTTAATAATAAAATTTTCTATAATGAAATAAAGAGATAATGAAAAAAAGTTATTTTTGTTGATAAATAAATCATCACTTTTTAAACCTTTTTTTTTAAAAGAGATAATAGTGAGTGGGGATGGGGTGGTTGGGTGAGGGGATAACAACACCATTTGGAAAGGGTGCGGGTAGAGGACAACATTTACCTTAAAAAGTCGGCCTCCAGTTGGGCCAGTTGTGAGACGTGCGGGTGTCCGGCCATCTGCGAGCCGGCAACTGCTGCCGCGCGCAAGTGTTCGGCAACCATACGTTCCCTTTCCATGATTAGCTGCCTCTGGAGCTGTTCGTGATGTAGTGCCTGTGCCGATAGCTATTGTAGTAAAAGAGGATATATTTATGGATTAATATCGGGATTCATTTGTGACAACCAATTTGTAGATGTGATTACCTGATGGGCCACTAGTTGTTCGTCAAACGATGAAGGCCTAAACATAGCGGCCGCGGCCGACGATTGCATTTCATTTCGCTGTTGCAAAATACTGGGCGGACGGGATGGGAATGTTGAGCTCTGGGGCATTAGAGGATGATTGCCGTGTATTTGCGGATCGTACTGTGACTGCGGATGACCAATGGCTGCGGCTGCCGACACCGGATCGGGATGACCACCGGGATGTACGTGAAGGTGAGTATGTTGATGTGCGTGAGCGTGATTGTGAGCGTGCGAATGCAGCTCCTGGCTCAGTCCGGCCATTTGCAATCGATAGAGTGGGTCGGCACTGGCCAGAGCCAGACGATCGGCTTGCATACGGTCGGATGCCGACAGTGCATTCAATTGTTCGGCAGTCGGTCGGCCGTCGCCTGGAGGATAGAATACAAATGGAGAGCCACCTCCCTGTGCTTGCGATGTCGGAATATTGGAAAGTTGAGAGCCGTATCGGCGCTGCAATTCCAGCCAATGTGGTTCCAGTAGATTACTGGCCGACGGTATTGGCGTTGCCGAGCCCTGTGAGGCCATTCGCGACTTCATTTCCATCTCTTTGATTTCTCGTTGTTTTTCAATCAAAATCCTTTCGCGTTTCTCCCGTTCTTCGGCTTCCATACGCTCTCGAGAATTGCCATAAAGTCCCGAAGCAATTTGATACTGCAGTATCGGATCCATACCGGGCGGTCCGCCGCCGGCCGAGTGCATGGCCAGAGGATTCGGCGTTGAGCCCATTAGGCCGTGCGATGGATGAGGAAATACTGGTGAGAAGGCAGCGTGCGGTCGGGCGTATTCGCTCAGTTGCCGCAGCGCCGGTGTGTCCGTATAGTTTCGCGGAGTGTGTCGGCCGAGCGGACTCATATGTGTATTGTCGAGACCTGAATGGCCGCCCATTCCGGACTTCATTTCGAGTGATAAGGCCTTTTCTGCCGCCAATTTCTGAGAGATAATTAAAGAAAAAATATTAATAAAAATATATTTTATTCGCCAATATATGACATAACAGTACCTTTTGTTCCTCTCTTTCCTTTTCGGCCGCTTTTCTGGCTCTTTCCTCACGTTTTCTGGCCAGCGACGAGTCGGGTACCGGTTTGAAGGTCAGGTCAGTTCGGGCACATGAATTATAATCGCCGCGATTCCAGTGACGCAAAAATCTGATCGTGTTTTTTAATAAAATAATTTGTTTTAAAGAAAAATGTTTTTTAAAAAAATAGTTAAAAATCTTAAATACATTGCCGATTGACTTCTATGGCATTCGCTGTCCTCAATCTTAGGTTCGGGACTCGGTCCTCGCGATATCATCGGAGTAGTGGCCTCTACTTCCTCGTCTTCATGCGAATGGTCGCGTTCTCCTCTGTGGTGTCTGTTGTCGTGTCGGTCCATGTCTCGATCTCGGCCGCCACCACCACCACCTCCACTAGCGCCGCCGAGGCCGTGATGTGCATTCATGTCGTGTTTCGACATATTCGACGGAACCGGCGTGTACTGAGATGGCGAGTGCGATACGCGACTGGCCTGCGATGTTATCGGCGATTTCACTGATTTCGAAACAGTCATTTCACGCATGCTATGCGTATGATGCGAATGCTGTCCAGGCATTTGGCCGCCCGGAGCCATAAGTTGCGGATGAAATGGTGAGCCGGCAAAGCCAAACGGCGACGGAACACCCCGTGCACCGTACGGTGACCAAGATGTCGGAAAATAGGGCGACATTCCTGGTATGCCAGCCATCGGATGCATCGACGGCGGCAAAAGATGCGGCGACAGTTGAGACGCGAGCCCCGGCTGACCGGGAATACCCATAAAATGATTCGCTGGCATCGGCTGCGAGGCCGTCACGGGCGGTAATCGTTGTTCACTTTGTGCCATCAGATATGAGTTGTGGAATAATGGCTCCGAAGATGCAGATGATGTCTGCAGGGAAGACATTGCTGCAGCTGTTGTTGTTGTCGTAGTTGTTGAAGAATTTGCTGTAAAATTCGGTAAATCAGAAGCAGCGGAACTAATCAATGGTGAGAATGATGACGAATGTTTCAATGGCGACGATGACGGTGTCCTTTCTTTGTGTGATGACTTGTGATGGTGATGATGATGATGTGATGATGAGTGGTAACTATTGTCATCTCTGGTCGAATGATGACTACTGGTCATAGACGCCATCGACGATGACGACGACGACTCTTTGTTGATCTCATTCGATGAAATTTCTGCCATTCGATTCATTGGCGAACTAATCATCTGCGACGACCGCGAATGATGATGCATAGGACCCATCGATTGGCTTCCGATAAATGGAAACATATGGTCGACTACTCCGTGCATTCGGTCCGATGGTTCGCTGACAATCGGATTCATGATCTGCGGCGGCGATTTGGCAAACGGCATGATCTCCTCTTTGATCTTCATTAGCGGAGATGTCATCGTCGCCGTCGTCAGCGGTTTTTGATTGGTAGACGACAGCGAACCGCTCGGATGTAGCGAAGTCAACGATGATATGGAATAGTTGGGCGATTTGGGTGATGACGGCGGCTCTAGTTTCGGTGTTATCAGCTGTTGCGGTTGATCTGCCAATGATTTTGATTCCAATGTCGCCGCCGCAGATGGAGGAGGACTTTCGGTTCGATGTACAGGCAGTTTGTCGACACTAGTTGTTGTTGTAGTTGTCTTGTCGATAGCTGTTGTTTCGCCGATTAGCTTAATGTTTGATTTGTTATCTTCGATTTCTTTGTGCTGAACACCACCGTCGCCACTATCATCCTCATCATCACCACCACCACCAACAATAGCAGCAGCTGTAGTAGCTGGTGCTCCAGCAGTTGGTGGTAGTAGTAATAACGGTGTTGCTGACAATGGTTGAGCAATACAATCAGCAACTTTGTCATTGCTGTTGCTATTATCGTTACTGTTGTTGTTGTTATTGTCAACAATTTTATTGTTATCTTTTTCTTCAACTTTAACAGACACTGGATTCGATGGCGATTTTGGCGATAAACTCATATTATCCACATTCTGATCGTCAGTTGAATTGTTAGCACTGTTGCTGCTGTTATCATCGTTCGAGCTAACCGTTTGATTATCGGTACTAACATCTGTGGTAACGGCTTCCTGAAGATTGTCGTCACCACTAGTAGTACTGGCGGCTGCTTTGCGCTGCTGTTTGGCGGTCATATCGCCGTCCATTTCATCTGATTCGGTCATTTCGGACAATGTCCTCTTTTTGCCGCCGACACTATCATTGGTGTCACTATTATTATTTTTATCGTCACATTTGCCAATAATGGCAGAGTCAACAACTCTCGACTCTGGACTGTTCGGTTCCGAAGACTTTGAGCTATTATTTCTTAGCAAATCTTTGCCGACACCGCCGCTGCTGTTCTTGTTTTTGCTGCCGCGAGTCCTCATAGTATGTTTGCCATTAGTGATGGGAGAGCCGGCACCTCCGTGTGCACTAACAGCACCTCCGCCGCTGAGCACTTCATCTTCATTTTTGACAGGTTTGAACAAAAATTGCACCGATTGTTGTGCTGTCGCTGTCGGCGACGGTAGGGATTGTGGTGTTTGCGTTTGATTGGCGACATTCAATGGTGTTGTTGGCGTTTGTTGTTGTTGTGGTTGCGGTAGTGGTGTCTGCGGTTTTGGCAGTTCGCCGAACTTCTTCTGATAAATCTTGCATTCGTTGCATAGCATAGTATTCTCTTTGCCGGCGCTGACGACGACTGGGTTAGTGTTGGTGTTGTGCCACTCCTTCGATGCCGTCGCCAAACAATTGCTACACATATGGCCGACAGTTATCGAGTCGGAGTCATCGGATTCTTCGTCGTCGCTGCCGCTTTCGTCGTCCATATAGTCGTTATTGTTTTGCGTAACATTCAGATTAGTCTTGTTGTTGGCGTTGCCGGTCGACGATGACGTACGCACTCGTCGGAGAACACATTGGCGTCGGTGTCGCCGATGCGGGCGAGTGGTAGCCGCTTGCGGTGTCTTTTTCCACAAGTAGTAGAACTCGACTAAATCGGCCTAAAAATATAGATTATATTGAAAGATGTTTTTGGTCAACAATTTTCAGAGAGAGAGAGAGAGCTAACCGTCTCTTTATGAGCCAACATATCCCGTCGTATTTTGAAGAAGTTTTTGCCGTATTTTCTCAATCCATTGACAAATCGTTTCTGTTTTTTTTGCAATCAATCAAATCAAACATTTAATCAAATATGAACTCAAAAAAAGTCAAAATTAGTTTTTTTAAAATCAAAAATACCTGTTCCTCTTCCGACCACTTTTTGTCCAACGGTTTGGGAATGGGATTCTTGACCAATGCCTGTAATGCCTTTCCCGTATCGTAGTTGCTTTCGTGAAGCTGTGTGTCAATCAAAACAAAAAAATGGTTAGATTATGACAAAAACATTATCATCATGGGCGGTAGTTATTTACCAATTCAAGTGCATTGATAGTAGTGTCATCTCTGGATGCGGCCACACAGCCGTCCTCGGCCGAGCCGCCGTCGCACATGCCGGCAAAAGCGGCCATACTTCTGGCAGCTCTCAAGTACATCATTAGATCGCAGTCGGCCACTCCCGGCGCCCATCGTAGCTCTTCGAGAGTCTCGCACTTTTCGGGCATCTCTTTGGGCATAATATCCAGTTTACAGTCAGGCAGCCTGGCCTGATGGCTCGGGCCCACCCGGATCTCGCCCTGAGTGGTGGCCGCCAGTGCTTCGTCAGCCGACACGATTATTTACCGCTAAACAAACAAATAATAATAATAAATAAAAAGTTGTTAAACAAAAACAAACATTAGGAACAAACATAAGTAAGGACTCTGGGGATAGTCTAACCCAACCTAAACATTCAGTTCAATACCAATCACTCACTCACTCACTCTCTCTCTCTCTTTATCTCTCACATACACACAGAGAGTAGGTGTCTACTACTGTTAGGACGATCCCCGCACAGGGAGAGAGAGATAGAGAGAGTGTGAGAGAGTATACAACTATATACAGGTTCCACATAATTAGTAGAGCATCCAATGTTATACACGCTCACGATTACGCACATATGCACGTACTCACGCACGCTCACGAAAACATGATAATTACAATTATTATTATTATTATTACATTTTTTAAATAATAAATTTTCAAAATCATCAAAAAAATATTTTTAGATACAATTTAGACAATAATTACATTCTAGAAGTTCATTTGTGATAATGCTAACTGGTTTTAAACTCATATAATATCTGATAATAATAATCTTTGTTTAAGCTATTTATAATTAATTAATTATAATTAATAAAAATTAATATCTAATATATTTTTTTAAAAATAAATCATTCAATTGTTTTTTTTAGATCAAAGGTAATTAAAAAAATAAACAATAATTTAAATTAGTTTTAATTATGAAAACTATTCATTAAAATTGATAATTTATTTTCATTTTTTTTATATAATTATAATAAATGCATATTATTTGCAATTATTTTGTGTAATTTTTCTTCTATAAGTTGGTTATGGCAATGCTAGTCAAAAAACCATTACTAACTGGTAGTAATAAAAGCATTATATATTAATTGCATTTCATTTATTATCCTCTAAATGTGTAAATAGTGGGCGGAGTTAACTCCTCTATAAGTATAATAGGATAGTGCTATCGCTTTTGACTTTTATTTATTGACTTTTTTTTTGTTGAGGTAAATCTCATCCTATATTTAATGTCAATACATACCACACATATAGCATTGATTACATACATAGTATTAACACTTTGGGAGATAATAATGATATAACAGACTATTGTATGGAAACTTAGATATACAGTACACATACATACATACATACATATACATACATATACATACATATACATACATACATACACACACACACACACACACACACACACACACACACACACACACACACACACACACACACACACACATACATACATACACATACATATATATATACATATATACACACACATATATATACACATACATACATAGATAGATAATATACACACACATTATAGATACCATCGATGGTAACAAACAATGCAATCAACCAACAACAAAAAATACACTTACGTTTCGCGCAGATAATTGATAACAATTTGATGGTCACTGTTGTTGTTGTTGATGATGCAGATGATGATGGTATGGATGTGTTGGATGTGATGTATTGTTAATCACATACAGACACACACTCACACTATCCTCTCCTCTCTCTCTCTCTCTCACTGTTTGACTGACTGTTAGCTATGCATTGCATTGACTGACGGGATTGACTGCCTCTCTCTCTCCCTCTCTCTCTGTGTCTGCAATCAAGTGGTGGTAGGTTTAGTGGCCGAAACAGTGGTGCAATCAATTGATACACAAAATCACAAAAAACTAATCAAACATTCATTTGTTGTGACAATTGTTTTGTTTACTAATTGTGTAAACAATTATTATTAGTATTAATATTATTGTTGTTGTGATGAGTGTTCCGTCAAATACATTGTGTGTATGAATACTACTAGTAATACATTCATACAGTAGTAGTAGTAGTGATGGCTGTGTATTGAATAGATTTGGTCACGTGATTGACTGTATAACAGTGTGTGTGTGGCGAGTAGTGATGTTAAGGCCTATACACTAAACATAAGCAACGTATATGTGTTGTTCATATGTAAAAAAAAAATTTGATTTAAAATATTTATAAAAAAAAAAGTTTTTAATTTTTTTAAATTTTTATACATTTTAACACATAATTTATTCTAAAGAAAAGTTTTTAATTATATATGATTTTTTTAAAAATAAAAATAAGTTTTTTTTCTAAGTTTACAAATTAATTAAACATAGAAATAAATTTTTATTTTATTATTTTTATAAATTTATATATAAATATATACTGTATTATACTTATCTATACTTATATAATATAAATTTTATATAAAATGTTTAAAATATAATTATACTGTATATTAAATAATTATATATATATATACAGTATATATATTATATACAATATAAATAGTATATAAAAGTTTAAATAAATATATGTTTTGAAATTTAAATATAATGTTAAAAAATCAACGATGCATTTAATAATATACTATTACCTGTTAATAATATTTGTTAGTTTTAAAATGCCCTCATCATTGCCTCTAAATATCTATAAAATTATATATATATAGTAATATAACAATACAATAATATAATAATAATAATAATAAAATTATAATATTAAAAGTTTCAATATTATTTTTTTTTTAAAAATAAAGATAATTGGTATTTATAAAAAATTATTAGCTAATAATTTATATGGTTAATACTATACAACAATAAACCTATATATATATATATATATTTGATACATAATATGCGTGTATAGTATATATTTAAAATAATATTTTTAAAAAAAGTATTACATAATACTGTATAATAATAATACAAATAATTTTGTTTTAGTTGTTTGTGTGATTTACAACAATAAAAATAATAAATAATAAAAAGGTTAGATCTTAATAAAAAATCAAAGATCACTTTTATTTTATTTTATAGTTATATTATAATTATGTATATATTTTGTATAATTTTTTTTATCGTATATTTATCGTAATATATATTTATTAATATCGTATATATGAATAATATTATAATAAAAAATAAGTTTTTCTTATTTTTAGTATTCATATTGCAAAACATTTGATCTATCGATTGGTCATTAATTATATTATTATTATTATTATATTAAAATAATCATTAAGTTATTACTGTATATAATATAAATTATTAGTTATTATAATTCATTTTTTTCACATAACATACAGTACAGTATTTATTGCCAATAATTTATTAGTAATTATTATTAGTAATTATTAGTACTGTAATAATTAAATAATAATAATAACTAAATGATTGTTACCGTAGTTATTTGACTTGTAATGATTTTACTGTATTATAAATAATAAATATATAATTAAAATAATAATAATTATTTTAATAGTTTATAGTTTTTTTTAAAAAAAAAAAACATTGAATTTTTATGTTTAAATTCAATGAATTATGAATGAATAATAAATTATTATTGTTTTTTTGTGACAAAATTATTAATTAATTATTAATATAATATTTTATCATAAATTTATGACAATATAATATATATATATATACAGTGTATATACTGAATTTTATACTATAAATTATATATATCTATTGAAAGAGTCATATATTATATAATTTAATGTATAATATCTCCTACAATACTTTATTAAATATACCTATTGTATATAATATATATATATATAATGTTAAATCGTTAAAAAAACACAATGTATTGTACAGTATAAACAGCTTTATATACTTTATATACAGTATATATATAAAATATATTATTCAATGATTTTTATGTGAAGTTTATTAACATTACAATAAAAAGTTTAATGATATGTGACTGACTTTTCTCTAAATTAATTGTGTGAAAAATTTGTATTTTTAACACTCAGTTAACATATTATAATATATATTATATATATATATATACTGTACTGTATATACAGTATTATGCTATTATTATGTATACAGTATATGTTTATAAATTATATTATAAAGTATTATGCATTTAATGTTGTATTGTTTGACGCAGACTTTGTGTTAATATATAAAATTTATATATATATATACAGTATATATATTATTTGTTACATAATAATAATATAATACTGTATATAACTTAAAGTATTAGCTATAGATATCATATACAATAGTAATTGTAATGTTATATACGGTATAAGGAGTAAATCATTTGTTAATCTTTTAAATAATAATATAAGATATTTTAATACACAATAATAATAACATTATAACAATATTTTTGTCAAAAATAATAATAATAATAATAACACTGTAAAGTGATTACACAGTTAATAGACAAACATGTATTTTTTTATAGAAATTTTTATTTAAATATTTAATATGAAAATTTTTAAATATGCTATACATGTAATGCATATTTATATATTAATATTGATATACAGAATATATATATATATACAGTACAGTATTATTTTGTATATTAAATCGATAAAATTGAATCTTTATTTAGCGGATTAAATGAATTGTAATTTTTTTTGTGTGTGTGTTTTGTTTGTCGTTTACAAATGACTATTGATTTTATAATAATAATAATAATAATAATAATACTAAAAATACAGAATTAATATCAAATAATGAAAATTTTGTTGTTTATTTAGAAAATTATATTATTAATCAATAAACAAACAACAACAAGAAAATAATTTCAATTTAATTAAAAATTTTACTGTATATGTAAACATTAAAAAAAAATTTGAAAGATTTTTTTTTGTTTGTTTGACTAATATTTTATTATTTATTTTTTAGTAATAAAGTATAAGTTGTTAGTATAGTTATAAATACTGTATATTAATAGTACTATTTATGCTATAGTATCCACAAAAAAAAAGTTTTTTAAGTTTAAAACTTACAAACAAACAAACAAAAAAACAAAACAAAAATTAAAATCATTTATTTCAATTAATTAAGTTAATTAGTATACTATAATAAGATTATATTAAAATAATAATAAAAATAGTTTAGTCCAAATTATTTTTTTTGTTATTAATATTTTTATTATTATTATTATTAAAATTATTAAAATTAACTTTATTACATAAATAGCTAGATAAGCTGAAATATAAGTTTTTAACATGCAGTATATAAATTATACAGTATATACAGTATTATTATTATTAGTATTATAGTATAAATGACAAATCATTCCCATAGTATAAAAAATCAATTATTTTTTTAATTAATAATAATTATCAATATAATTAATTAATTAATTATACAGCTAAATAAAAAAAATTGTATATAAAAAAACTTATTATATTATTTAGTTTAGTTATCGGTAATTATTTTTCATAATAATTTAATTACGATAATATAATATAATTTTATTTTTTATTTATTTTTTAATTTTTATTTACTCCATAGTGGTTGTCAGCTCCAGTTGTAGACATTTATAGACAAACAGAGCCCCGGAATAATTACCGGATACAACCATATCCTCTTTGGGCGTAAACCTGGCTTCGGTAATACTGCCGCCTCCTTGTTTATACTCAAAGAAAGCCGCCTAAAAAAATATAATTATAATTATTATTATTATGGTTGAATTGGTTGGTTGGGTGCACAGGTATTTTGTTTGATAACAATAATAATTATTAGTATACAGGTATTAGTATATTGTTATTAAAAAAAAATCCATCCAAACTAACTATTGTATTAAATATTACTGGTATTATTATTATTATACCTTTGAATCGGTGCACGGGTAGCCAAACAATCTGAGTACACCGTCTTCATCGCCGCTGACCAGATATCTGGTAGTTGGCGAACAATGACAGCTAAGATTGACCACATCCTGAAGGTAATGGTTGTCCCAAATGCCTGTTTATTGTTGGTGTTGTTATTGATATATAAAAAAAAATTAAATATATATTTTTTTTTTAATTAAATTGTGATATTTTATATTCATATTATTAATAATAATAATGAGATAACAAATACCTCTAACATCTTCACTGCCACTACAAGTGGGATCAAACCAATTGATGTTGGATTCGGCAAAATTTGACAACCCTTTCATATAACGACAATTGGGTAAATCCCCTAATATTTTTTAAAATTAATGATTTTTTTTTTAAAAAACATATATTTTAACATATTTGAAAATTTTTAACAAAAAATTAATTATTATTATATTATACTTACAAAGTAGTAATTCCTGATAATTATCTATATTGATAGATATAATAATTAAATAATTATTAAATTAATAAGTTTTATATATAACAACAAAAATTTAGTAATTTTAATATAATATAATGTAGTATTTATTTATTTGAAAATAAATATAAAATAAAATAAAATCGATATATCGTATGCAAAAAAAAATTTAAAACATACTTTCGTTAACTGATGTCAATATAAATTGATTATCAGTAGACCATTGAAGACTTAATATGGGAAACGGACCCTAAAATTATATATATATAACAAAAATATATAAATAATTTTAATTAAATAAAAATTACATAATTAATTATAAGTAGTGTAATAATAATAAATATTTTTTTTTAGAAAAAAACAATGATTTACTTTTAAAACGGAAACTTTTTCATAAGACAACCCGTTATCCAAAACGGGTAATATGTATAGTATTCCGTCCTGACAGCCGGCGGCCATTAGATCGCCGTCGGCCGAATAGGCCAGACATCCGATGCATACTTTTGAAACGGGAAGCTGCGATATGATTGTGCCGTCGGCGGCACTCATTACGTATATAACGCCTGATACCGACCCGATGGCCAGCACTTCACCGCTGGGATGTACGGCTGCCGATACACATTGACTCTAAAAAAATAAATATTATCGGTAAATATATTCGGTAAGATATATGTGTTGTCATTAATGGTTGGATCAGCTAATTGATTGATTGTTTGATTGATTGGCTATACAGACTTCGGTGGTTGTCCTCCAAATCAGATGCATTTCATTCCATTTGCAAACTTTCTGGTCGAGGGCTGAACTATAAAAACAGGCGTCTCTGGGATCAACTGCCAGACCTCTAACGGCCAACGAGTGTCCCTTTAATATACATATCATATATTGAATCGCAATTATCAGTTATTTTTTGTTTTTTTTATTTGTTTGTTTGATACCCAAAAAAATAAAACATTATTATTATTATTATATTATAACAAATCAAATATTAATAAAAACCTCAAAAATCACAGTATAATTGGTAGCCTGAAGTGCCGATCCTCTTAATATCATATTCATCGAAGTGCCGATATATATCTCGATGGCATCGCTTTCGGCGTTCGGGTAGTGGACACGGGTTATGGAGCTAATGGCTCCGCTGGTCGGCGGTAACTGATTATTGCATTTTTTAAAAATAGATAATATTTATTTTGATATGTAATATACAGTATAATATCAAATATTTTTTTTTTATAAAACTAACTTTAATGGCATTCAATAGCCTAAACTGTTCATCATTGGCATCCCATGTCTTAACAGTGCCATCCATATCGCCAGTGATTAGTATATTATTTTGTATCAATTGAAGACATGTTATCGATGCCTATGAAGTATATATATATATATAAAGTGATAGTTTTTATTGTTAACAACAAACCAAAAATTTATTAAATAAAAACAATTTATTATTAAACAATATATTTGATAATAACTTCATGTCCTTTGACTTCTTTGACGACAAACTCTAGTAAACCGTTGTCGTCCTCTACCGGCGCCCATATGGTCAACGTTCCCGTTGTGTCGCCACTCAGTAGGCTATGATCGGGTAAAAAGTCCACACAATTGATAGTTTTGTTGATTTTTGAGTCCTATAGAGATTATGTGTTTTTATTTGTGTTCAATTAAATTAAATACAAACAAAAAATTATATATTGTATATATTTATCATATATATATATCATATACGGGTATTTAAATTTTTTTTAATAGGATTACCGGTTTGATGGCATTGCGGCTGTCAATAGTTCCGTCACGTTTTCGCTGCCAAATAGCCAGATGTTTGTTACCATAAGTAACCAGAATATCGTCCTCTGACTGATGAAATGCTGCGCCCAATAAGGTTTCGCCTCCTTTTAGATCTTTCTGTATGATTTGATGAAATATATTTTATAGTAAAGTATAGTATTTATCAAAACAATATACAAGAATATTATTTTAAATTTAAATTATATAAAAAATCAATTACTTTTGAACTGTTAAGTATTTCCGTGCCCTTTGAGTCCCAGATTGTTATATTGAGTTGTTTTTCACTGTTTATAATTAGTAGAGAACCCTATAATAATAATTCAAAATTTATTTTTTTTTAAAAAAAATAGTTATAATTTTAATTTAAAACATACCTCTATTGAGATATCCATTGCCGATATAACTGTACCGAAAATGTTTTGCTTCAGTACAGCAATTGTCCGCAAATCTTTGGCCGACCATATCCTCACCATCTGATTCATATAATAATTGATTATTAAATATATAATTTTTATTTTAATATTTTTAAAAATCGGTTTCATTATATTGTAATATAAAAACATACGGCAAACGGTTCACCCTTTCCCGCCTCCTGACTGGTGGCCACAATACTTCGGGCCTTACGTACAGCCATTCTGTGTGTAATTATTATTATTATTAATAAAAATAAGTAAAAAAAATGTTTGATTTTTGTTTGTTTGTTAAATTACAATACCTGTTGATATCGTATGTATGCAATGTATATAATCGTTGGACATTGTCCTCAGGGTTCCACAAGACGGCAACTGTTCCCACATAGAAAGCCAACTCACCGTTGGCCAGAATAAACAGGTTATGAAACCCGTTATTACCGCAAAACCCGTGTCTTTTTTTTATTATAAAAAATAAAATATGTATTAAAAAATGTATAAATATATTGTCTAATAATTATCAAAACAAAAAAAATTTAATACATTTTTTGAAGCTCAAGACATCTGTCGGGAACATTGACACCGGTTTTCAGATATTCCAATGGATTTTTCAAAGTGTTTTGATGTTGTAATCGTTTGTTATGGTAAGTGTCTGCTGTCGGCATCGACATCACTGGCATCAGTGACTGCGACGACGGCGGCGGTGTCTGTATCTGAACTTTTCTGAACGGAGACGGAGTACTACTAAATACAGACTTTCGTTCACTTGTTTTTGGCACTTCTTTATCATCCAACTCGTCGTCGTCTTCCTCTTCTTCGGCTGATTTCTTCTTCAGTTTGCCTTTCATTTCGTTTTCGTAAATCTCGTTCTTTGATTGAGCTCTCGAAACGCTGGCCATCGGTGTGAGCAGTGCTGATGACTTTGATGGTGACGATGGTTGTTGTTGTCGTTGATGTTGATGTTGTGGCGATAGTTGCGGTGATAACTGTTTCGACGCCGACGACTGCCATGTCTTTAGCGGACTCTTGTGCGGACTTTTGATTACCTCAGCGGTCATATCAGTCATATGATTGATCTTTTCATCGACAGTCGCGTCTTCTCTCATGCTTTCGCTTTGAACAAGAAATGCTGTCTCTCTTAGCAGTGTTTCGGCGTACTCTTGGAGGACATCCCTTCTCGAGTCAATCATTTCGTTGTTATTCTTAGTATTATTATTGATATCATTGACAAACTGTTTGTTGCCGCCAACAAAACTTTTACTATTATTTAAATTTTTAGTATTATTATTATTATTATTAGATTTTAATTTACGACTATTTTTTGACACTTTAGGCAAACCATTGGAACCATCTTCTGGTGTCTTCTTCTTAGTCTTTTTCAGCTTTGTTTTGATGATAATCTTGTCGTCGTCTTTGTTATTAATAAACTCGGGATTTGACTTTGAATTATCTATAAATTGAATGACATTTTTTTGTGTATCAAAATTGTCGACAACTAACTGTCCCTCTATTAATGTATGACTGTTGCGATGATGATGATGATGATGACGGTGCTGATGATGATCATTGTTATGGTGTATATGTATATGTGTCGGACTGGTCAACGGCGGTGACTGTGACGACCGATTGGTTAAATAGTTCATGAGATGCGACTGTTTGACACTATCTTCATATGTCTTGTCCGCCAAATATTTTGTATCATTTTGTATATTATGCTTATTATTAGTAGTATTATTATTGACATTCAGACGACTGAAACGGACAAACTCTGGCGATGTTTGTGTCTCCGATGACTTGGAATCGCCGTTCAGACCACTGAAGTTGTGGTCACCGCCGCCGATGCCATTCATCGGTTCCATATTAAGACTAAACCGTTCGCTAAGAGATGACTCTCCCCGACGACTCGGGTTTATGTCTAGAAATAAATAATAAATTATATATCAATAAAACAAATTTCAAATGTCATATATATTATATCAATATTAAGAATAATAATAAAATAATAATTAATAATATTTTACTATTTGTATAAAACTTTTTTTTTAAATGTTTTTTTATTATCAATTTAGAAAACGATTTCATTAGAAAAACTATTATTATTTTTACTTATATTAAAATATCATTATATTATTTATAATAAATTATTATTGTTTTTTTCTATATCGATATATTAATTTCAATTTCTATTTATAAGTTATATTATAATTCTATATTTCATGTTTAAAAATTAATGTTAATATAAAATTTATTTAACAATAATATTAATAATAATAACTATTATGTAGACCTAAAATAAAGTAATATTAAATTATGTCACCCACACACAATTGTTTTTTTTTAATTATTCATGGTAAAATTATATAAATAAATAAGCATACAGGCTACTTTATCAATCAATAGTAACAATAATAAATGACAAATAATAATAAAAAGTAAGTTATAATAAAAAAAAAATATATACAGTAATAGATAAATACTGTATATAAAAAACAAACATTTTGTGTGCTATTATACTGTATATATCAGAATAGGTTATTAATATTGATTGCAAAATTGTTGTATTTATTATTATTATCATTGTTTTTATTATTAATATTATCATTATTGTCTGAATATAGTTTTTTTTAAATATTTTTTTATGTGGCTTTTAAAAAATATAAATAAAATAAATTTATGTAATAATATAAATAACTATCTATTGTTTTTTAAAAAAACAATAATTATATAGGAATATAATGTATATAAATGTTATTTATTAGGATAAATAATGTCTACCTGTTTGTAAACTACTAATTACTATTAACTAATTTATATACATGTTTAATTATAATTATTATCAATATATTATCAAGAAATTAATGGTAACAAAATTTGTATACAAAATAACTTTATAAAAAAATTATTAGTAACATATTTCTATGAATTTCTGAGTAATATATATATATGTAATAAATATTACATAGTTTTCTAGCAATTAGTTATACTGTATTTCACAATTAGTATATCAAACATCAAATACATATACTGTAATATATAGTCTAATAATATGAATAATTATATATATATATATATTATAAATATATACTGAAATAAGTCATAGTTAAAAATTAAATAAAAATTATAATTTTTTTAAATAATTCATATACAGTACTAAACTAATAATAAGTTTATAATTAATAAAAAAAAATAATTAAGATTTAAAAAAATATTAAATTAATTAATTATAAAATAATAATAATAATAATTACCCGATAGGATGCTTGAATCGGACCGTTTGTTTGATGAATTGACATCAGAAGTGGATCCGTTTCTTGAGATACCATTGATGATGACATTCCGATGCAAACCATTAGTATTATTAGTATTAGTATTATAGTAATGATTGGAAGCACTGATACTATTTAAAGCGTCCAATGAATGAGATTTAAGCTGATTTTGTGACAACTTTGATGTATTATTATTATTATTATTATTATTATTATTATCGGTTGGATTTGAGTCCAAATAAAACAAATCAATGCCAACCATATCTCGTTTAAGTTGTGATACACTTCTAACCTATTGTTTAATATTTTGAATGATATATATTATTTAAAAATATATTTTTTTATTTAATAAATAATAATTATTTTATAATTGAAGAAAAACTTTCTAATATTAAATTTTAACCTAAAATCTTAATTAACATTATACTAGAATTTTATAATTAAAAAAATTTAGTATAAATTTTATTATTTATAAAAAAAATATTAAGATATTTAGTATAAAATTTATGATTTATAAAAATAAATATTCCCATATTTTTTAATATACAAATAAGTTAAATTATAAAAATAAATAAATAAATATAATACATTAAAATAGTATAAACCATTAGTGTAATGTTTAAAAATATATTATTATAAAACAAAAAATGCTAATTGTCTATTTATTAATAATATATTAATTTGTTATTATTTTTAATATATAAAAAATATTATTATTAATTTATTTTTATTATTATTATTAGCATAGTTTAAAAACTGTAACAATTAAATCTAGTAATATATAAGTTGTCTTAATAATTAAAATAAAATATTAAAATATAGATGCATTTTAACTATAATTGTTAAATGTATATTAAAAATAAATAACTTTAATGTGATTTACTTTTTTTATATCATAATTTACATACAGTATTACTATCCATTATAATAAATAAATAAACTCTCGGAAAATATTTAAAATTAATTGGTGAAAAAATAATATTTTTTTTAAAAAAATGTAATTAATTTAATTAAAACTTATTTTTTATTAATTAATTAATTTTAAATAAAAAAACTTATACCTCGTGTCCGGAAGCGGTGAACATTCGCTTAGCATTCTTAATACGGACGGCTTGGCCCAAGTCTTTCAAAATAATATCAAACGATTTGGGACTTTTCAGATTCAACAATACCCGTGACCTGAGCTTATGATCCTTATTGTTGACAATCGTAATAATCCGGCCCTCTCTGTACGAGGTATTGATCGGTTCGGTAATATTATGATAGATTGTATTGAATTTCGACGACAACGGTCTCAACAGTTTCAGGTCATCCTCGCGAAACGCCCGGGCCTTTTCGCTCATTGCCTGATTACCGTTGAGTACTTTCGGCGGCCGACCGCCAATCTGGCCGTAACCGATCTTATTGAACGACTGAAATGTTTTGCTGCCCGATACTACATAACTCTGGCCATGTTCCAGTTCATTGAGCGTCAATACCCGATGACCATTGCATGTAAATATAAATTGGACACCGTTGGCAATTTTTACCCGTTCAGTCAAATACTGGCACAACTGGTCCATTGTCCTGAAATCACGGCCCGGCAGTATCGACACCGTAGTGGCCGCACTGAACGGTTCGCCATTCTTGTAAAATGTTAGTTTCCGGGCTTTCCTATCGCTGGCCTCTTGTATGGCTTTCGACACACCATTATTATTATTATTGCCAGCACCTGAACCATTGGTGGTAGCATTGATGGTAGGATTAGGATTGCTGTGACTATTATTATTAGTATTATTATTATTATTATTGATACCGAAGTTGACACTCATTAGGGATTAATGACCTTTTTTTTTGTTAATTATATAGTTGTTGTGTGATTTGATTTCACTTCACTATATTTTTTTCAGTGGCATTCACTTCATGTGGTAATCAATCAATAACCGACTTCACAGATATACACACACACCAAACCCCATACACACACACACACACACACACACAGTGTGTGATAGTATAGTATATTTTTTGGTTGTATCCATAAGCAAATCACAGACTCATACATTAGGATATAATAATAATGATAATTGTATTGTCAGTCATTGTTACGGATTGTGTATCCAATTGTTGTCCAACTTTTTTTTCTTCTCTCTCTCTCTCGGCTTAAGAGGGATGACAGTTGATTGAAGAGCTTATAGAGCATAGGGAGAGATAGTGAGAGTTAATAGTCGCAAATGGGGTCAAATGATCTGCAGATAAGTTAATTATATAAGCACTGGTAGTTTGTAATGAACGAACTGTGCGCTACTACTGGTGTACAGTAATATCAGATATATGTAGCCGTAAATGAGCGCTCATTAGAGACAGGTGTATATCAAACATAATATACTGTATATATAAGTGATTTTATTTTATAAATAATTTATTAACACAAAAATAAAATTGTCTCACATTTAAATACTGTATAATTGTTTTGCTTTAGTAACACTTTTTTTTGTTAATATAATTTAATAGTCAATTGTCATATAGTATAGTATGTATTATGACTTATATTAATACCGGTAACAATAAAAAAAAAAGATTGTTATAAATATAAAAATTGAAAAATACCTGTATATATATATATGTGTGTATATACAGTATAATCGACTTAATGAATAAAAATTTAATATACATATAATATAATGAAATAATAATAATAAAAAAAATTTTGTTTCGAAAAGCGTTTGCTTTTTTATTATCGATTCGTGCAATTTTTTTGCATATGTATGTTACACATACCTGTATAGTACAGTATATGTACGTATGTAGGTATAGATATATATATATATATATATATATATATATACAGTATATACTATATATATACTATATATATACTGTATATATATATATATATATATATATATATATATATAATTCATAAATAGTACATTATTTTTATCTAAATAATACAGAATCCCTGACAACCAATTCGCAAATGTAAAGTCTAGTACATAGGAATATTCTACCGGTGCTCGACCTGTAAGTCCAGTCTCCTCTATACCAGTATAGCCAATGAGTAAACCGACGATTGCATGATTGCCCACATATATTGCCATTATATCATATAACTCTTCCTTATAATAATAATAATAATAATAATAATAATAATAATAATATGATATCATATAATCATTAGTACTGTATTACTGTTACTATACTATTATTAATACAGATAAAAAACATAAACTCTTTTTTCCCCCATATTCTCTATTATCTAAAAGTAATTAATAAAAAAAAATAACGCATTTTTTTGGTGGGTAAACAATATAGATATTTAGTTAGTTTTTTTTTTAAATATACTAATATTTTTTTAATAATAATATAGAGTATCTATTCTGTATCTATTAATTTATCTATTTATAGTTATGTCTACAGTAATTGAGTAATTGTTTTTTTCTTTATAATATATTGTAAATGTCTTTTTTAAATGTTTAAAAAATAATATATTACTGAAAAAAACAACACAAATAACTATTAGACAGTTGTAGTAACAGTATTATTATTATTATTAGTAGTAGTAGTAGTAATAGTAATCTATAGACTATTATAATTTTATATGACATTGATAATAGATTTTATATATATATATGCTATTTAAATACAAAATATTATACTATGATATATTAGTGTTATTGATTATTATTATTATTATTATTGCTTAAGTATTTTATTTTCAAAAGTCATTAATTTTGTTATAAATCTACTGTAATTTTATTTTGTGTATACAAACTTATTATACCCGGCTATAAGTTATAATTTATATGATATTATTATTATTATTATTGTATATCGTGCGACAATAAATTGTATAACTTATGACAATATAATTTGTATATTTCACATGTTTCCCAATTATTATTTTGATGAATAAATAATAATAATAATAATAATAATAAAGCAATAATATTGTTAATTTATTTTGAAATTATAAATTATAATAATTATTATTTTATACAAATTTTTCTGTTATGTGCAAATTATTTATCACACATTTTTTTTATTTGTATATAATTTTTTTTTTAAAAACAACTTATATAAAAGTATTACACACACACACACACACACACACACACACACAGAGAGAGAGAGAGAGAGAGAGAGAGAGAGAGAGAGAGAGAGAGAGAGAGAGAGAGAGAGAGAGAGAGAGAGTAACACATAATAAATAAAATGCATAATATAGTAGACATTAATTATACAAAAAGTATTGATATTATTTGCTAAAAGGAGTTTAGGTGCAAATAAATTTTGTATTATAAAATATTTACTAATAATTGATTATTTTATTATACAGTATATACCAGTACTGTATATATAAATAAAAATTATATATCAAATGAGTTTATAAATGTCTAGACAAATAATTTTTACTATAAATTTATTATGCAATCATTTTATTTAAAAAAAATTATTTTTTAAAAAAAAGTTAAATAATTAATAAATTTTATTATCAATAGAATTTAATAAAAAAAACTAAAAATAAAACATTACTATCAGGAAATAGTAATAATAAAAATAAATAATAATAAAAAAATTCAATTAAAATAGTGTTACTCTTTATTTTGAGTATATTTTATTACTAATAAATAAACAATAAAATGATTTAATAGTTTTTTAAATAAATAAATAAAGCAGCTAAAAAAAATTTTTCAATAACATATTGTATAATAATTGTACTGTATATTTAAGTACTGTAGTGTGTATTGACGTTTTGCTAATGTATATTATTATATAATAAATATAAAATAAAAATCAATTTTATATTATATTTTAATAGTCATTAAAATATAATGTATTATATAATACAATAGTAGTATATTATAGTATATAATAGAATATTATTTTTAAAATTATTTAATTAATGCTATTAATTTAAATTTTATTTTTATTTAATTTATTTATAAACAATGATACAGTAAATTGTAAATAAAATAATATATATAAAATACAATATAATAAATTACAAATTATTTAGTAAATTTTATTTTTATTGTACTATCAATTTCAATATTACCGTAATATATAAAATGGAATTAATTTGTTAAAAATAAGTTATTAAAAAAAAATTATATTTTAAAAAATCGTTATCAAATATTTTTGTTTTACTTTTAAATTAAAAATTATTTATTAAATTAATAATTGATGAATAAATAAAATACATAGAATTGTATATAATATATATATATAGTTATGGAGAAAAAACTATGTGATGAAAATAATAAGTGATACTTAAAATACAGTAAATACATATACTTGAATATATATAAATTATATATATATATATATATATATATATATAAATTTATAAATATAATATAATAATAATATGAAACAAATAATAATAAATTCAATGAAAACTAATAATAATAGTTAAGTCACAAAAAAACAAATTCACTTCAATTTGTTTACAATATGTTTGTACGAAATATTTTAGTTTCTTAATAAAAAACTTTTTTTGTTTGTTTTAAATGTAAATATATATATAATAGTTGTGTGTTTTTTGAATATATAGAAAATACATGTAAAAAATCAATGAAATGAGACACCAGTTTGTGTGTAGACATTGATGAGATAGTCAGTCCACTACACAACTCTTTAAACTAATAATAACTATTAATTAATTAACTTATTATTATTATTATCCAAATATATCAAATCGTATGCTATTTATGCAACACAACTCATGCAATGATGACTATATGCGGACTTTTATTATTATTATTATTATTTAGGCGGTGCCTGATTGGTGAACGCCGGCGGCAATGTCTGGCCACTCATCAGTTCGGCCATATTTAGCTGCGGTTGCGGCTGACCTGTCAGTCTCGATAGAATACCTGTGCGAAAGTAATTTAAAAAAATTATTACCGATAAGTTTTAATATAACAATTGATATATTAGTTTAGTGGACAACACATACCTCTTTCGGATATCTGTAATCTCTGGGCAACGGGCGGTATCCGTGCTATAGTCGACGGCAGACGACTAACATCGGACTTCATGTCCGACAACAGCTCTTCCAATTGGTTGAGAACTTTGTGTAGTACAGCGTTGGCTGGTTTGTTGCCGGCCAGCGATTCTTTGCTCAGATGCTGGTGTGATTCGGCCAAACATTCCAATTCGGCAAATCGGGCATTCAGTGCCATTGCCGGATGAGTCGGGTCTTGAGTCAGATTCAAATAGGCTGCTCGTCGTAGTTGTTCTTCGATTACCAGCGCCTGTTCGAGTAGTTTGAAACGTCGGGCCAGAAATTTGTTCTTAATTTCCAAAAAGTTTCCTTTGCCGACATCCATTTTGAACGGTTCGTTAATAATAGTAAACGCACCGTCGTTTTGAATGTCCTGCCAGCGGCCGTAGCCGTGTCGGACAATACCGGCCAGCAGCCAGTAGTCGTGCCTGCGGTGCCAGATTTCCAGTTCACGAATGGGAACGGCAGCCTTTTCTTCGTTCAACCACAGAGTATGCAATTCAGTAAAACCTCCGTCGGCTATATTAAACATAAACTTTTGTTTTGCCAATACTTTCTTGTTTTCGCTTGGCTTAAGCTGATCGTCATCAGTGGTGTCCATCGGATCTGCTGAATCTTTGCCACCATTCAGCTCTTTGTTCTCATCGTTCTTTACCGTTTCGTCTTTACCATTAGTAATTTCAGTTGAATCTGTTGTTATTTTAGGTTCCGAATCGTTACCATTTTGTTGAGTCTTTTCGGTCTTTAATTCATCCATTGGCGAGTCTTCTGTCTTAACTTTTATCTCTTTATCTAACTTCTCTTCAGTGTCTTTCGTCGTCGTAGTCTTTAAGCTATTGTCCTCTTCTTCAGCAACAGTCGTCTGTTGGTCCGTTTTGTCGTCACTTTTGATATCACTTTTAGGAGTCGACGTCTCGTCAATCTTTTCACTAGTCTTCTCCTCTTCGCTTTCGCCGACAACAACCTTTTGGTCGCCGCCATCGGTCATGTCTTTAATATCTGTAGTGTTTGTGGTCGACGGCGACGGAGCCTTACTATCGTTCGGTGTCGTCAACGACGATGAAACAGCAGTCGTCGAACCATTGGTAGCGCCGTTCTGTACGGTCTCGTCCTGTTCGGGTAGTATTACACTAATCGTACCGTTAATGTGTTCGAACTCTTGTACTTTCTTGCGAATCAATGACATTACACCGATTCTGGTCAACACATGCTGTCTGGATAGTCCTTCTCGTGGAACTCCGTCGGCAAATGTTTCCGAGTTATCGGCGCCCGGTTCGCACAGATGTCGCATAAACAGTGATACATAGGCCCGGAAATTCTTTTCGGATTTACCTCTGAGATCCCTTACCAACCATTGAGAGTTGAAGGCGTCCTGCGGTGGCATTCCGTAGCGCATTATGGCATTCAAGAAAGCCTTCCTCTGGCGGGCATTGAATCCCAAAACCTTTTTTTTGAAGATAAATATAAATAAATTCCAATAATTAATACAATATTTGTATGAAAACGCCTTTAAGAACAAAATTCTATAAAATTCTTTGGAAATGCTCTCCAAAAAAGTCTTCAAAAAATCATTATTGACTGCTTTTATTTGGACAACAAAAAGATTGAATCAATTGATATACTATTTGTTGTTTGATTTGGTTTTAGACAAACCAAATAGCAGTCGTATCTTATAAAATATCTTTAGAGATAATAATAATAAATCATAAATACCTCAATATTGCCGCCAACTCGAGCCAACAGAGGCGGCAGTGGTCTGTCTTTTTCGCCCCGTTCTCGTCGTCTTCGGGTGGCTTTCTCTTCTTTGTTCTCCTCGAAATCGTCGTCATCGTCTTCATTGCCCGACGGTAGCGAAAAGTCTGAATTATAGTCCTCAATGGTTTCATTCCAGTGATGTTCCTCTTGATTGCCGGCAACGGCATCGTTATAATTCACTTGTTTTCGCACTCGTTTGCCTTTACCCAGTGTTCGGGCCAAGTCTTCCTGTTGTTGTTCGTAGTGATGGCGCAACAGTTTCTCCCAATAGGCCGGATCTGCACTTTCGACATCTTGTTTCAGTACTTCAGTTTCGGGTTCGTCTTCGTCGACATCTTTGGTGGCATAAGAGGCCACTTTGAATGAACTCAGATACTCGTTGGCCCACATTTCCTTCTGTTCGATACCTTCCTGAGTCCGATCGAGCAGACCATCGATGGCCGCATCGTCGTAGTGAATGGTCGACTCATCAGTTGTTCCCTCTTCGTCTTTGAACAGCTCTTCGGTACCGAATCGCAAAATATCGTCCAACTCTTGTTTGGACATTGCAGCCGATCGGCTGCCTAGTCCTGGCCGTACAACCAAATGTGTTAACATCATCTTCTTTTTGGCCACTTGTGTGATACGTTCCTCAACCGAAGCTCGGGTAACAAACCGATAGATCATCACTTTGTTGGCCTGACCTATACGATGGGCGCGACTGAATGCCTGGATATCGTTGTGCGGATTCCAATCCGAATCGTATATGACAACCGTGTCGGCAGTGGCTAAATTGATACCCAGTCCACCGGCACGGGTGGACAATAGAAAACAAAATTGTGGAGCACCGGGTGCATTGAATCGATCGATAGCCTCCTGACGTAGGGTTCCAGTAATTCCGCCATCAATTCGTTCGTATTTATAGCCTTCGTATTCGAGAAAGTCTTCCAATATGTCTAACATTCGGGTCATTTGGGAAAATATCAACACTCGATGGCCGTCAGCCCGTAGTTTGGTCATCATATCCTTCAGTAGAATCAATTTGCCGCAAGCCTTGACCAATGCGGTTCCTTCGTAGGCACCGTTAGGCATTTTCGGAGCCTCCTGTGCCGCAGCCGGAAACAGATACGGATGATTGCAACACTTTTTCAAGTCCATCATAATGTTGACGAGCGAAACCTGTTGTCCGCCACCTTTGGTATTCAGTGCTTCGAAATTTCTGGTCAGAATGTATTTGTAGTATTTCTTCTGCATCGGTGCCAAATCGACTCTGACAATGAACTCGCTCTTCGCTGGTATGCCTTTGAGTACGTCGGCCTTCAATCGTCTGAGTAGATGCGGACCCAACATATCGTGCAGTTTCTTCACCTGTTCTTCTTTGGCAATGTCGGCGAACTCATTCAGAAAGCCTTGCATATCACTGGAGGGAATAGAGATTACCACAAAAAAAACAAAATAAGATCAAATCCAAAGAATTGGACACAAATTACTACTCACTTGAATATATCGGGACTCAAAAAGTTTAACAAATGAAACAACTCTTCCAGATTGTTCTGTAGCGGTGTTCCCGTCAATAGTAGTTTGTAATTGATTTTGTATTCGCGCATAATTCGGAAAAATTTTGACTGATTATTCTTCAGCCGATGGGCTTCATCGACCACTAGTACTTGCCATTCAACTGAACCAAGTGTTGCCGAATCGATACAATTAAGTTCGTACGATGTAAGCAATACGTGAAACTTGATCGGCACGTCCTTACGTATACGGGAAGCTTTGGCACCGCCCCGGACGGCGCCCTCTTCGAAGCTGAGTTCGTGTTCCCTTATGACGGCTCGGCTGTCTTTGTCGCCGATATATGTCACCTAAAAATTTATGGGATTAATATATATATATATATATTTACTTTTTATATACAAGCAGTTCCAGTAAACAGTGACACAAACAAATACTAACCACATAGAAATCGGGTGCCCAAACTTCAAACTCCCGTTCCCAATTGATAATAGTAGACAGCGGTGCTGATACTAGAAACGGTCCCTTACAGTGACCCTCTTTGAACAGTGAGTACAAAAAGACAATAGTCTGGATGGTCTTTCCCAAACCCATTTCGTCGGCTAGAATCGTATCGCGATTGTGTGTCCACGAATACCGGAGCCAATTGCAACCTTCCAGCTGATAGGGATGCAGTTCCATACCAGTAGCGTCGATAAACGACGGCTGATATTCGTATTTCTTTTTCGGATCGACAATCGGCTTATCCGGTGGCGGAGTCGACCGGCGATCGCTGTAGTCTTCGACACCGACGGAACCTTTCGGTTTTTTGCCCTTTCCTTTCTTGCCTTTACCGTCAGTCGACTTCTTTTGCGTATCGTAACCCATAGTGCATCGCAAATCCCAATAGGATTCAATGGCTTTCTTCAAGTCGGTAATCTCGCACTCGATCTGCGAGTTGTCGTTGAACTCCCACGAACACTGATCGTAGGGCAGATCGCGCCACTTAACCAAATACATAATACGACTGTCCCTCAGTGTCCGATGATTGATAACCCGATGGACATTCAGCCATTCGGGACGAATACCGTAGCGATAGTACTTTTCTTCGAGATTGACATCACTTCTGGCCGCACGTTTGTACTTCATTGCCTTGCGCTTCATTCCAGTTGCAGCGGTAATCTCGGCGCTGTCCTCGTCAGCTACTTCAGCGGCACCGGCGGTACTGCTGCCGTCGACATCGTCAGTGACAACCGGTTTTTCGGTAACAGTATCGCCAGAGCTGCCGTCATCGAGCGGCGGCGGTTCGTCCATATCGGTTTTGCGGCAATAGTTTCGATACATGGATGGATGATAGACATCGAGTTGGACTTCGCTAATCCAACTGCAGTGCCAATAGGACATGTCGTGCCATTTGACGAAAAATTCGCGCTGAGGTTTTGGCTGAATCTTTTTACTGGTCGACGGCTGAGCGGCCGGAATGTCGTCATTGGTAAGCGGTTCGCCAGTTAGTCTGATAGGCGGTACAAAGTCGTCGTCAATAATTTCGGCCCAACGCCAGGTCAATATTTTGGCCACTTTGCCTTTCAATGGTTGAACTGAACATCTGGGACACTGCCACTCGCCGTCGGGAACCGTACGCAACGGTGGATTCAGACAATAGGTATGATAGGCCAGCGGACACAGATCGCAACACAATAGTTCGCCGCCGTCTCGACAAACCCGACAGAACTCCATGTGATGATCATTATTGGTCGTCCCTTCGACAGGTGCTTCGATCTCCTGGTCGGGTACTCCTTCGCCCTCGCAATGCGGACAACTCCACTTGCCTTCGGGTGCCTCTTCTAGTTCAGGCTCCAGACAAACCAAATGATAGGCTCGCGGACAAGTGTCGCACAGTATAATTTCGCCGCCCTGTTGACAAACTTCGCAATAGTCCTGATGGTCAGTCTCGTAGCCGCCATTCTCATTGTCCGAATTGCCGTTAGCCGACGGAAACGGTGCCGTTGTTTTGGTTTTCTTCTTCTTCTTGAACTTTTTGCTCTTTTTCTTGTCTTTTGGCGGCGGTGTCGCTCTGTCCGCCTCTTCAAGTGCCGCCTCAAACTCTACGTCACTCTTGTTTGGTTCGTCATCATCGTCTTCTTCGTCCGATGTCTTATGCTTTTTGCGTCCGATTTTGATTTTGATCGACGGAACCGATTTGACTTTCGGCTTCTTTCCCTTTTTCGGCGTCGACTCGTCGTCGGCTAGCAGTTGCTGTTCAGTCGGCTGTTGCTGACCACCACCGCCAGCGCTGCCGATACTATTCTGTGGATTGCTTGCACTAAATTCGCGCCATTTGGCCGATATAAGTGTTACCATTTTCCCCATTGCTATCTTCGGATTGGTTTTGGCAATCAATGGCCGGATGTGCTGTGAAAATAGCTTATAGTTTGTTAGGTTTTGATAGTCGGCATCGTTGTACTCGTAGACAACGTCTTCTAAATCAAATTCTTGGCAAATTTCTTCAACACTTTTCTGTGTTTTATCCAATTGTTTGCTACCTTTTTTAGTCGATTGTTTCTTTGCCGACGAAGACGTCGACAATTCAATTTGATAGTCGGCCTCCAATTCGGCCAACTGTTCGTCAATAAATGAAAACTCGTCCGGACTGTCATCGGCTGTTGTTTTCTTCTTCTTCTTTTTCTTGCCCTTTCTTTTCTCGCTATTCTCTCTGCCCTTTCGTTTCTTTCCTTTTTTCTGTGTCTGCAATTCTTGCATATCGTTTTGGCCATCATCGGCGATGGCATCAGCTGTTGCGGGGTCGGCAACAACGCCAACACCGTCACCGAAATCTTCATCGTTGACTGTAGTCGTCTCGTCTAACAGTTGATCGTCTTCGGCCTCCATTTCGGTTTCGCCGTCTTCTTGTTGGTCATCGTCGTCATGATTGTCGTCATCGATCTCTTCTTGGTCTTCATCATCTGTTTGTTAGTTTTTTTTTGTTGGAAACAATATATATTTAGAAAATTTTTTAAAAATTAATTTTTTTTTATATTTTTTGTTTTAATATAACTAATTATTCCTAATTCTAATTATTATACTATTTTATTTATTATTTATTTTTATTGTAAAATAATCAAAAGTAAATTTTTAAAAATATAATTTTATCTAGTTTAATAATTAATTAGATTTTATCTAAAAAAAATTAATTAAATATACTAATTATATAGATAATTTTATTAGCTAGCTCGTTTTTTTTAATTAAACACCGTATATTATTTTTTTAAATGCATACAAATTAATTCAATAAAATTTTAACAAGATAAAAATAAAATTTATATTAAAATTGTACCTATGTACATATTGAATAAATTTTGAATAAATAAAAAAAATCAATTTACAATATTATTTAAGTAAAAAAAAATTTAATTAAAAATATGAATTCTGATATAAAAATTTAAAAAAAAACTTAAATAGATACAGCTAATTTTATTTTAAAAAATATTATATACTGATTAAAGGCATAAATTAAAAAAATACTGTATAAATAAGTTTTAAAAATTAAGATAAAAACTTTTTTAATAAAATATTTTATTTTTTTTAAATCATTGAAAAAAAACAATATTTATATACCCATAAACTGTACTCTCTAGCCATACAATTACAATACTAAAAGCATAAAAAAATTTATTGAAAAAAAAAAATTTTTTTGCCTAAAACTTAATACACAACCGATATATACATACAAACAAACAAACAGATAGACACACAAAAAAAAATTTGTCATTAAATTTCAATGTAAGGGTATTTTCGTAGCCAATCGATTGGTTAGTCGACAGGCATTAGGTATACTCCCCAAACAGTGGTGGGGTGGGTGGGTATAGGGGTAGCACAGTTAGGGCGGGGGGTAGAGGTATATAAAAAACTACTGTTCCCATCCCCCCCAACCCAACTATACACACACACACACACATATCCGTGTCCATGGCAACCCACTTTGCTTTATATGTTAATAAGGTAATAGTTATCGTAATAGTTATCCCATAGTTCCCCCATTGAGTGCTATAGAGAGAGAGTAGTATACTATTGAATGGCAATTATAATTTGGAAATCGATTTCCAAATCTATTGACTATTTTTTTTAAATACAGTTTTTTAAATTAATTAATTTTATTTCAGTGGACACACAAAACATGTGATTTACTGTCAAAACAAACACAACATAACACATGTGTTATGTAATCATCAGTTTATTTGCCGGCAATAGTGTTATAAGGTATAGGGGTTTATATACTGAGGGACTGGTAGTCAAACACAAACATATACCTCCAAACTGATGATGTCCTTCACCGATGTCTTGTTGTCCATCATCGTCGCCGCCGACACTTTGATCTACATCTTCATCGTCGTCATCGGCGGCCAATTGATCCTCTTTACGGGGCATTATGTATGTGTATGTGTGTGAGGCCAACGAAAACTACTGGCGCTTTAACTATGAGAGAGAGAAAAAGCTAACCACTCTATAACACTATGGATTCAATGAGTGTGTAGTACTACTACTACTACTACTGTACTGACAGTCGCTTTTTACTCACTGGTGTTGGTTGAACTCACACTCTCTCACATAGACATAGAGTTAGAGAGAGAGAGAGCACTGGTATGCAAACAGGAGAAGCGCGCCGTTCAGTAATACTGTCACATACACTATGTGTATTGCCAACACTGGGTGGCGGCGACGGCACTACACTATACAGTACTGTATAGACTCTATAGTATAGAGTCTATACTATAGTTTTTTTTTTGGTAGTAAAGACACTGTGTGTCTGATATATGACCACTGATTGTCCGACTGACTGACCGACCGAAACACCCGGTCATCCAATCACTGACCCAATCGCTGATCCGATCTATTTGTTTGTTTCGCCACAAAAAAAAACAAAACAAACTTATAGTTTGATAGACTTTTTTCTACTGTATTATCATATATTTGGCTAAAAGTTTTCATATGATATATAAAGTTTGAATATCTATTAGGAAACAAACAACTAGACGACTATCACTTTCTATTTGATCCAAACAAATATCATATCTTAAATGTGACAATAATTGGATCCAGATTTTTACAATAATTGTCTCAACAAATAAAAAAACTTGATTGTCTTTAATAATAAAAAAAAACAAAAGTTGGGATCCAATGGTTTGGGTGAGAGAGTGATGTTCAACACCATTGGCGCCACTATTGTCTTCTTCAGCAATCGTTTTGTTGTATTATTATTACGAAGACAACACACATACATACAGTACTTTTGTTTTGATACATCGGTAGCGCCATTCATACCATAGCGACAGATCTGTGCCAATGATTTTCAACCAAATGAAGACTTTGTCCGACCAATGGGTGTCACTAGTGATGTGATGTCATTTGCGAAGAGAAAGGACAGACAGAGATAGGTTTGGTTATCATTATTGTTGTTGTGTTGTGTTTATTGAATCCATGAATGATGAACTGATTCGCGCCGGCGATTGAATCTCCGGCGACGACAACAACAATAACAACAGTTGTGTTCAACACTTCTTATAGTTGAAGAAGAAGAGTTGTCTCCTGTCATTTGATTTGACTGACAAACAGTCCATCAGTAAAGAAGTGACAGAAAAGTAGACGAAGAGGAAGAAAAAGGAAGGAAAAGAAGAAGGAAAATAATGACCGAAAAAGATTTCCAGAAGTTTTACCACGAAGTGAAACACGTGGAAAAAGAAGATTCAGTGTACACGTCGGCCAAACAGTTGGCCCGACTGTTGAGGCCCGGCTCGACGTACGCCAATCTGAATCCGTTTGAGGTACTACTAGTCGATCCAGAGGACGGCGTCGATGTTATCAAACGCCAGTACAAGAAGCTATCGATTTTGTTACATCCGGACAAAAATCCGGACGACAGAGATCGGGCACAGACAGCCTTCGATGTCCTTAACAAAGCCTATAAGTGTCTGGAAGCGGAACAGACCAGAGCCAGGGCTCTTGAAGTAGTAGAAGAAGCGAAATTCAAAGTAAACCAAATGATCGATGAAAAGCGAAAAAAATTGAAGAAAGAGAGAGGACTGACACGCGATAGGGATGCCGTTGTCGATGAAGACGATCCGCTGAAGTTTAAACAGGCAGTCAAAGTGCAGACAATCAAACTGTTTGCCGATTACGAACGGAAACGTCGGTCGCTGGAGGACAGGGCTCAGGAAGAAAGGAAACGCAAACGCGAACAAGAGATCGACGAAGAAGAGACCAAACAAGTGGAGAAGGAATGGACAAAAAATTTTGAAGAAAGCCGACAGACACGGGTCAACTCGTGGCAATCGTTTAGTAAAAATAGTAAATCCAAACGTAAAGACATTCGGCCGCCAAAACATAAAGCCGAGACACGTTAGGAACCAATAGTAGATTTAATTAATGCCTGTCTTTTTACTACTACTACTACTACTACTACTACTACTACAACCACTACCATACCAACTGTCCTACTCTTGTTGTTGTCTAACGTATCGATAATTTTTGTTTTTTTTTTTGCATTTCATTCAACTGTCACTCATATATCGATATATATATATACCGTATATTATTATTAGTATTATTATATACACACAGGTATTGATTTAATAACGTAAATGCAATTAACAGATATTATTATTGATATTATTATTATTATTATTATTGGGTTATCAATTGAAAATTGATTGTATAAATTGCATGTCATTAACATATAAATTATTATTATAATATACTGTATATATATATATATTGATTACAAAATATACGGTATATTATTACATACAGGTATAAAATAATAATAATAATAATAGTAATAATAATAATAATAAACTATTATTGATATAAATACACTATCATTTTTTGACGCAATTTTTTTTGTGTTTAGCATGTATTGTAATTAATATTAGTTGTTTTTTTTATTTTATTTTATTTTTTTTTTGTTGTTGATTAATGTTTGTTACTATTAATTATTATTATTATTTTAATTTTAAATTGAAACAAAATATATACTATATATATATATATAAAATCTAATAATTTTTTTTAATTACAAAAACATTATCGGTAATAAAACAAATTAATTATTAATTAATTAGTAATTAAATATATTATAAAAAAAAACTATTAGCTACTGTGTCTGTGCTAATGTTGTAAACTTATAAATCATTATATCGTATATATTTGTTATACAGTATATGATATATAATATACTATATATCGTATATATATATACTGTATATTTGTAAATATTCACATGACAATTGAAAAATTAATAATAATAATAAAAAATATTGTCATTTTCAAAAAAAAAAATTAATATATATTTGCACTTAATTTATTATTTGATTTTATTATTAGTGATCAAAGTTTTATATAAATTTTATTTATTTATTTTTCTCTGAATAGTTGTGTAAATATTTTATTAAAAAATTAATTTTATTTTTTTTTTTAAATTTATCATTCTATAATATGAGTTTGAACAAGTTAAATTTTTAAAAATATTATTCAAACTTTTTTTTAAGTGTGTTATAGAAGTAATTTTTGTATTTTTTTTGGAAATCAATAATAGTATTTTGAATATTTTATTTTTTATTATTTTTTTTGTAAAAGATACCGTATGTTTAAATTTTGATAAATAATGTGTAATTATAAATTAAAAGTAGTGTATAAATTATTATCTAAAAAATTAATAATATTGGTTAGATTATTGGTAAATGATCACGTACAATTATTAAGGTAAGCTGATACTGATTATTAATTTTTTATTATTAAATTAAATTTTTTATTATTAAACAAATTTAAATTTCTAGTTTAAATTAATTAAGCTTATTTTTTACAAATATTTATTATTATCAATATTAAAAATTAATCTTAGCAAATAAAAATTAGCAAAAAATTGTTTCTAATTGTAAATTTATATCAATATTAAAATAGTTTTATAGAAAAAAAAGTTTTATTGAAATTAATTGTATTTAAAAATTGTTACACTAGTAAGTGATTGGAGAGTATATACAGTACATTATATACCTATACCTGTATATAAATACATAATATGTATTACATATGATATACTTAATAATAATAATAATAATAATAGTATTAGAAAAGTTAGTAGTATTGTCGGGTCATTTTAAACAAGTATAATACTACAGTAGTAGTATATAAAACTTATTGTAGACTCTACTACCACTTTTGGGTTATAGTTTTATACTGGTACACTAGTATGGCATATATAAACAACTGGGGTATATGTTATCAAATTGAAAAAAGCCATGTCTTACGTGGTGTGTGTGTGTGTGTGTGTGTGTGTGTATGTGTATGTATGTATTGAACACCTGAAAAAAGGTTGAAACCAGTATTACTTTAGTCCAATGGTAGTGCAGACTAAATCAAATAATATGATGATGTATGGGATAGGGATAAGAGAGAGAGAGAGAGAGAGAGCTCATAAACACACACACATACATGAGCTCTGATAGAGTATGCTATGCATAGACAGACCGGTCTTTACTACTACTACTAGTGGTATATATCGTGAAGTATGCCTTACCTGAGAATCCGATCAACAGGTGGTTGATTGACCCTCCAGTGCCTACCAGAGCTGCTGCAGCACAGGTATACAGAGCCATTAATGGTGTAAATATATATACTGTATACACACATATATATTTATAGTATAAATATATATATTAATGATATATATATTTGTCTGGCAGTCTGGCACTCGGTGTTTGTGTCAAAAAAATATGACTTTAAATATGTACTCATAATAATCATAGTAATAATAATAATAATAAAGTTTTCATCATTGATTAGTTTTGTTGTTATGTTTTATCTATTACTTAAACACAATTGGTTTTTATCAATCAAATGATAAACCAAACAACATATAGTAGTTGTAGTAGAAGTAGTAGTAGTAGTAGTAGTGGTGATAGTAGTAGTAGTAGTAGTTGTCTATCAAAATAAAAAATAATAATAAATATATTAAATATATGATATGTATTATAATTTATTATAAGACTCTGTGTCACTAAAAAAAAATAAATAAAATCAAAAAAAAATTTACAAAAATCATTCAACAATTTATTAGACGCAACAAAGTTATGCATCAATTGTTTGTCGAAGTCTTAGCCAAAAGAGATCTATCAAAAGCTGGCGATCTGTTCTCCATCGACGACAAAAGTATTGTCGAAGATCTATCCGAACTTATACATCATATCCAGAAGATAAGCAGCGCCAGCAACTTCTTGGACAAACACAATGACCAGAGTGTTGTCGAAATTTGTTTGACACGAATCACAAGTGCCATCCGGTAAGTGTCAATCATCACCATCTTATTAGATCCCTATTGATGTTGTCATTGCCCCATACCCACACACACACACACAGCGACACGGGAACCATTGAAGAACATGCCGGAGCACTGGTCGGACTACTAGAGTCATGTCTGATGCACGATCTGATGCCGTCAAACAAAGACGAAGATCCGCCGCACGCCAAGATTGCCAGCGATGTTGTTTCCTGTATATTTCTGGTAAGTGGTCACTCGACCGCCCGATGATGATGATGATGATGACCATCGATTTATTGATCTAATCTAATCCAATATTTCTTATTTCTTTTTTTGACCAACAGAACCACAGCAAGAAATCGGTAATGCGATTGGCTGTTCCCATAGCCGTCAAACTGTTGCACAGAGGAAACAAAGAGCTGAGCCGAAACCTGTCGAGCTATCTGTCGTTGGCCGCCATAAACAATGCCGACGTACTATCGCCGCACATCCAGCCGATCATCGACTCGATCATTGGCGGCAACTATTCACTGGCCCGGGTTCTGCCAAAGATCTATACCGTCAACAAGGAACCGATTCACGATCATATCATGGCCTTGGTCTGCCTACTGCCGCAATGTGATACTCCCGAAAGGCTATCTCTACTCAATCTGTTTGCACTTATATCGAAAAATCGGCCGTCAATTCTCGAAACAAATTTACCGCAATTTATGGACTGTCTGACCCAATCGCAGACGGCTTATCCAACTCTACAGATATTCTTAGATATGGCCCAAAACAATGCAAAACCATTCCAGGAGTACGTCCATCGTGTCATAACGGCATCGGAAGCCCAGACAGGAATGCTGTCCATTGCGGCCCAGTTTCTCGGTTTGGTCGGCAAACTGAATGCCAGCAAAGCCCGCGAATGTCTCAAATTTCTGACCAATCAGTTATCCAAATCGGATCTCTCGACAATGATAACACTGTTGCGTGAGATCAAGTCAATTGCCGAAGCCTTTCCGCAAGTGTTGCCATCGTTTTTGCCACAAATTGTTTCCCAAACGGAAAACTCAACGTCATCTACTGTTCAGTCATATCTTCAGCAAATCAGTTCCATTAACAACAACAACAATAATAATAGTAATAACGGCACATCCGGTGGTGGTGGCGGCGGCGCCGGAGCCATAACCATAGTTAGAGTCAATTGTGATAATTCCGGTATCAATGGTATCAGTGGTAGTGCTGGTCAGACAAACGTCGGCGGCGGCGGTGGTGTCGTCGGCAGCAATACTAACAGCACATCATATTTTACCAGTTCGTCGACAACTGGTAGCAGCAATCAGAAGAAGTCGTCAATACTTAGCGAATCGACATTTTCGTCGCCATTCAAGTCGACCGGCAGTAATAGATTGGGCACAAGTAATATACATGTCATTCATCGGAGTATTCCTCGGCTGCATATTGTCAGCGGCGGTCACATTATTGGTCGTCATTCGTCGTCTAATGTTCACCGAAGTCTGACGGCACTGATGATGGCCAATCCGTCAACGAGCCGGCATCAGATGAACCGTATGTCCATCGAGAGTGTCAACGCGCCGACAACCGGCGGCTCACAGAAGAGTGCGTCGAGTTCTTATCTGATGGCATTGGCCGAAAAGGAGTCGGAAACGGCCAAATCGTCCAAAGCGGTGGCCACTTCGGTCGACTCGCAGCTGCAAAGTCATGCCCAGAATGTGACCTCTTCGTCGTCATCATCATCTCATTATAATCTGAAACTATCGAAAAGCGAACTGTTTTCGAACAGCAGCGGCGGTGGCGGCGGCGGTAACAACAAATCACGCGACAATAAGTCGCCAAATCATCAGCAATCGGGTGGCGGTGGTGGTCAGCAGCCGCTGATGCAGAGCCAGCTAAGCCGATTGTCGACAACTTCGGCAGCCATTAGCGAACCGTTTCCGATGCGCGACGCTGTCCAACATTTTTGCGAAAAACATATCGACAAAATCAAGAGCTATATGCAGAAGATATTTGTTAAGATACCGCTTCCAGTCAAGTGTACGATTGAAGAACGAAAAGCCAAAAAGGTGGCCAAATTGCACTTTGTTTGTCAAGGAAAAGGTGAACACTGTCTCTACTCGAAGACCTATTTCATAATGAAGACCCGAAACGCCCGCATATGGATTCATCTGATGTTTTTGGCTCTTCAGGCCAAAGCTTCGGCCGCTATAAGCACACGGGAGACATCAGTGGACGCATTGAAAAACTGTTGGGACAGTCTTAAGGCCGACAATAAGACATTTCTAACATTAGTCACCTCATCGTTTCCGTCGGCCAAAGATCAGGATCTACTGAATCATGAACTTCGGTCGCAAAGGTATTTCGATGTTTTCGAGTTTAACGCCATCGTCCAGATCTGGGGCTGTTTTCTATGTAATCATCCCGAAAAAGCTAACGGTTTTCTCAAGAGTAATGAACCCGTCATCGAGGGTCAACTGAAAGAAAAAAAGGGAAAGTGGAAACTATTCAGACGATGGCGGACCAGATATTTCACACTATCGGGTATACAATTGTCGTATAGAGAAGCCGTAAGTTTTTATTTTTTAATTTTATTTTTATAGTTATATAATATTATATCGATATTATTATCTATTATTTTGTGTGTGTGTGTGTGTGTGTGTGTGTGAAAAATTGTTTGTTATTTTTATATTTATTAAAAAAATTTACTGATAAAATATAATGATAAATATATGATATTTTATTATTTAATTCAATATTAATATACAGTATTATTATTATTATTATATAATATTTATTTTTCAATAACATATAACAAAAAATAAATAGCAGACATCTCTTATCATATTTGACATCAATTGACTAAATATTTTTGTCTGTTTTAATAAATATATATATATTTATAAAAAAAAATTATATATATATAAAAATATAAATAGTTTTTAGTTACAAAGGGATATTAAAAAAAATTATTATTTTTATTTATTTTTTATTATAAACATGTACTGTATATGTGGCATAAAAAATAAATATTTTTTTTATAAAAAAAACTTATATATAAGTATAATATGATAGTAATAATAAAATATATTACTGTCAACCATAAAAATAAGGAGACAATTAAATTAACAGACAAAACAAACAAACAAATAGTTTAATAATTAAAAAAAAAATTAAATTTTTTTTGCGAAACAATCTAATTGTCGATCAAAAAATGCATTTTAAATCAACACCTCTTTTGATAATATAATATATATTTACTTTAAAAAACAACAACAAAATTAGATTTTAAAAAAATATATACAAAATAAAACATTTTAATTACATTAATGTATTTCTAATCTGTTTTTCCACAAACAAAAAATAAAATAAATATTTCATAATAAATAATTATTAACATTATTTAATATCATTATTATTATTTTTTTAAAAAAATTAAAAATAATATCTATTGTATTAACAACAACAACAACAAAAAAATATCAAATAATTAACATTTAAATTACAAAAAAAAATAAAAATAATAATATAAATGTCATACATTGTAGCGTAAATAAAATAAAACAAACCAAACAAATAGTTGTTCAAAGAGAAAAAAATGTGTTAATTAAAAAAATATTTAAATTTATTATAATTTTTTGTTTATTTGTTTGAATGTGTTGTTTAAAGAATGGCGACAAAGACGGCGAACCGGTAGAGATCGGGCAAATCCAGTCGGTTCGGGCCATAGGCAGCTCCCGGGGCCGGACAATACCCAAGGCTTTCGAAATATTTGCTAACGAAAAGACTTATGTACTTAAAGCCAAAAACAGCCTAAATAATGAACAGTGGGTTCAGTGTCTGTCCATAGCTATGGCACACTCGCAGGCAAAAGAAGGTAATTAATTAATTAATTAAAAATATTTAATTAAATAATAAATATTAAATACATTTTATTTTATTTTTTTGAAAATTTAATTTATTCACACAAAACAAAAAAAAACAAAAATAATCACTTAATTTACTTAATTACGATATATATATTTAATTCAGTATTATTTATTTTATTTTAGTTTATTAAATCAGATAATAATATAACATACAGTAACATAACATATAAATATTAAAAAATATAATTTCAATGATCTAATAATTATTTTTTCATAAATTTATTTTAACTTTATCATAATTTTCTTCCCATTTTTGGATAGACATTCCTAAGGTTATGGTCTACTCAATTATCTAAAAAACAAACAAACAAATTTTTCCAGCCCCCATACCCCCACCCCTAAAAAAAACTAACTGTTTATATATATATCATATGTCATATATAATTTAAAATGTTATACATTAAAAAATACTGTAATAAATTAGATTTATTATATACCATATATATTATATATATTTATATATATATATTTTATTACGATAAAATAAAATTTTAATGATAATCAAAATTAAATTAAAATATTATATATTTTTATATAAAAAAATGCTTATGTAATTATTATACAATTTATTTTATTATTATTATTATTTAATTAATATTATAAATGTTTCATTTATATATTATTTAAAAAAACGCTTATGAAATACTTATATACAATATTTAAATTATATTTATATATATATATTTTTATTCATTTTTTAAAATTGTTATTTATTATTATATTATACTAAATAATGTTTTTTTTGTATAAAATTAAATTGTAACAAAAATGATCAAGCAATTTTTAAAACCATATATAGTTTAAATATATTGAATGATAATAATTATGTTTATATACATATGTATATATATATATTTATATATACATATTTGAATATATTCAATATATACCTTCAAACAACAACGAAATAATTTTTTTTAACAAATAATTTTTATATATTTTTGATGATTAAAAAAAATAATTTTACAATTTAGAGAAATAATTATATTTTTAATTGATAAATATATATAAAGTTTTTTTTAAATATGTCATTCAAGTTATATAAAAATAATATTGATTTTAAAAAATTGTAAACATTTGAAAATAAAAAAAATAGTTTAACTATTGATTTGAAGTTGATTTTTGGTTGCATTAATTCATTCATTAATTTTAAATCAATTCATTGCAAAAATGATTGTTGCGATTCTGACTGCATAGCCGCCGATGGCTGTACTGATGGCCAGTACTTGTGAAAACCGTTAACAAAATACTCGTCCGATTCGGAGTCCAACAGCGATAGTCGCCAGAGATTTGGCAAAACTCTTTGCGACGAACAGATGACAACTTCGTCGGCTGGCTTTGAGTCCGACGACGACGACATCAGTGTCGTCGAGTCGTTGCTTAGAATCTCGTCATTGATTTTGGACATTAAAATCATTTGTCTTTGTTGGACACCGAGTGCCGACAATTGATATCTATGGCTATCACTTGCGCCACCGTTGGCGTCGATCGGTTCGCGCGACAGTCGCAGCGTTTTTGCCGAACCATCAAAACTGAGTACATAGTTGTTGGCCAATTGACCGGCTTTTCGTCTCGTTGTTCGCGACTTCTTTGACCGTTGATTCGCATTGTTATCGACCACTAGTTCCGTCGTCTTCTGGCAGTTTGCCAGCAACTGAACCATACGTTTGGGATCAATTGATCGCCGATTGGCACACTGTTTGATGTGTGCGATCGACTTCGGACCGGTGGCCATACATAGCGGACACTGTTTGTAGTACTGGACCCGTTTAGACATGTCTTCTTCCGCGCCATCGACGGTAATTGCCGAAGACGTAGACGACTGTTGCGACAAACGGTTCCACATTTTAAACAACGGACTACCAGTGTTGTTGGTTGGCTGTCCTTCGCGATGATGATGCTGACCATCAGTTCGGCCATTGACTGATCTAATGTACTCAACGTCTTCATTGTCTTTATCACTATCTGTGATGTCTTTCTTCTTCTTGTTGTTATTGTTATACGAGTCGATGGGTAGTAAGTCGTCGTCGGACGACAGCGAGTGGTCGCTAAAAGTAAAGCTGATCTCAATGTCTTCACTGTGTGAACCAAATAATATCTTTTCCAACTTTTTGGTGGTACTGTTGCCGTCGGTTGTGATGTCGTTGTTTTTGGTAGTTGTTGATGTGGTCATCATATTCTTCTTCTTCATCATCATCTGCCGAATACTTCCATCAGACAAACAGTCAGTCTTCTGATGGTATGTTTATTACCATTCAATTCCCAGTTGTTTTTTTATTGTGGGATCAGTTGTCTTGTATTATGTCTTGTATATGATATGATGGCTAAAACAATAGTAATAATAATACAGTAAATCGTTAAATGATTTTTTGGAAAATATAAACAAATATTTAAATAAAATATTAAATAATAACAATATGTTTGTTGTGACGAAACGGTCGACAAATAAAAATAAACAAATAAAATGAATCGTTCAGTGATTACGTTACGAAAAGTTTTTTTTATTAAAAAAATATTTTAATTAATTTTTTGTTTTTTATGTTTAGGTTTTAATGTATATATTATATTATATACTATATAATAATTAATTTTTTGTTTCAAAAAATTTTTAAAAATTTTGATACTTTTGATAAGTTTGGATAAATTAATTTTTTTATTTTATTTTTTTAAATAGCACTTAATGTTTTATGTTTATTTTTTTAATTATTATTTTTTTTAATATCCAGTATATTTTGTATATAAAAAATTAATAATAATAATAATCATTTTTTTGCTACCGTACCATTCACCCGTACATGGCTTTCCCCGAGACATATACCATATCGGGTATCAATAAACTAATCAATAGTTGTCCGAAAATTATTTTAACTTTCAAATAAAAAAATATAGATTATTTGAAATAAATAATATCTTTTATTGTATAAAAAATAAACTAAACTTTCTTTATTTTATTTGTTTATTCAAAAATAATTTGCATAATAAAACGTTTGGATAATAATAATTTGTATATACTTTTAAAATCATATATTAAAATATATTATATTAATTAATCCTATTTATATACATGATTTATTATTTTTTTTTAAAAATAAATAATTTTTAATACATATAGAGATAATTTTTATAATGCATCTATAGTTTTGATTTTTTTCTTATCAATTTTAATATCTAATCGTTTATACGGTTTTTATCTTTTAAATACAGTATTAAAGTTTAAATATTACAAAAACAACTAAAAATATGTTTAATAAACATTGTTTATACATAGTGTTGGTAATTTTTCGCAATTCAATTTTCGATTGCCGCAATTGCGGAAAATTGCGTGAAATTGCTTGAAATTGCGCGCATGAGGGAATGTATAAAAATTAACTTTGAAAACGTTAAAAATTTTGTTTACAATAGATTAAGAGAATTTACTAATTTATTATTATTTTTACATGGTTTTTAGATGGCAACATTTTATGATAAAATAATTAAATTTTATATAATTAATTTATGTTTTTATTCATATTGCTTTGCCATTTAAATTTTGTTAATTTTTTAAAAATTATAAATTGTTCTATTTTACAATTGCGATTTTCGCAATCGAGCTTTTTGCAATTGCGGCAATTTCACGCAATTTCCGAGCAATGCAATTGCGCATTTTGCAATCGGTACATCACTATTTATACAGTATATTAATGTATTATAAAATATTTGTTTTTCATTGTACCTGTAGTTTTAAATTTGATTTTCCAGTTATTATTAAAATTTTAATCTCTAAACTCTAATATTATAGTTTAAATCTCTAATAATAATAATAATCTCTATAATAATATTTAAGTATCAAATGCAATAACACAACCACTAATCTCTAATTAAATATATATATATAATTAATAATATTATTTGAGTTTAATTATTTGATTAACATATATTACTATATATAAGTTACTGTAACTTATATATATTAACTTTTAAATAATTGGTTTGTTTGAAAAGAAAAAGTTATAAAAATTAGTTTTATTTTTTAAATAAATTACTTGAACTTGAATTGTTTAAATACTTGAACTTAAGATATGATGGGAAAGATGGTAACAGTCGTCAACGTATCGGACAGTCATCTTAGAGACAGTTTTGACCGATTCGGTGATGATTTGTGCGGACTATTACTCAGTTATCTCGGATTTGACGACCGTTTTCGCTACGATTGTGTGTCCCGACAATGGCATCGATTGATATTCAATAGTCATAACTATATTGAAAACCATGATATTTATACTTATAATTACACAAAGATTTTGAAAAGATTAGCCAACAGACCGTTTGAACAGAATTTGTACGAATCAAACGAAATGTATGAATTGTGGATCAAATATAACATCAATATTAAGACATTTGGTGTCAAAAGTTGGGCGATTATGGATTGTTTGGGCAAATTGTTTGCAAAATATGGCCAGAAATTGGAGAAAATAAGTTTCTATAGATATAACCGACTGGTCGCCAATCAGCTCAGACAATGTCCAAACTTATCGGAGATTCACTTCACTACCGACGGTACAACACTGGTCGACACCCTATCACTACTCCTGGATAATGACAACAATAACGAAATATTTTTTGGAAAATTGCGAAAAATATTTTTTTCAATATCTCGAGTTAATACTAATAAAACATTCTGGAAATTTACCGAAAATTATGGCAACAATTTGTTGGCCATTAGTATCGACAGTTGTTTTAGCGACCGTTTTGCCGAACGTATCAATATATTGGCCGGTTTGTCCCAAATGACACAATTAAGACGATTACAATTACGGATATTTTACGAATTATTTACCGATATCTATGATTTCAATGAATTGGACAAAATTGGTAACAATTGTCGACAACTCCGACAATTGTCACTAACACTGACCTATCGTTCCGGTCAAGAGTTTAACCGTTTATTGGCAACAATTGGCAGCAAAAACTTTTGTCAATTAAAACGATTGAAATTGATTGCTCTGTTTAATGACTACCCAAACAACAAAGGTATCGCCGCCGCCGCCCATACCAACAATGGATTTGAAATATCTGGCCAACCATTGAATCAGTTGCCACTACTAACACATCTAACATTGGATATAACATATCTGTGGCATTTGAGTCCCGATATTATTGGCAATCCTATGAAATTCATACCAAACGTTCACTATATTGACTTTGATTTGATTAATACTAGCGACCAATTGTTTGATTGTTTGGCAAAATTGAAACATTTGCGTACATTAAGGCTAACATCGGAAAATATATGCAAAAATAATCTACATTTTACCGAAACAAATGTTTCAAAACTATTAGTAAATTGCCGAAAAATTACAACAATTTCATTAGACTGTAAAATGTCATTTGATTGTAAAAAACATTTTAAAAATTAACATTTTTAGTGACTATTATAAATAATAATATGTTTCAAAAATATTTGATTACTTTTTGTTTAATTAATTAAATTTTTATTTTGTTTAATGATTTTTTATAACAAATAAATAAAAAAATTTTAAAATTTATATCTATACATAAAAAAATATCTTATATTCAAGTATAAAATGCAATAACATAACGACTAATGTTTAATTTAAATATATATAAATTAAAAAAAATTGTAAATACAGTATAAGTTTTATTTTAATTAAAATTAAATAATTTTTTTTTCGCTTATAATATGGTTTATTTTTAAATAAAATACTTTATTAAAATTTAAATATTCAACAAAAAAACAATTAAAAAAAATATTTGCTAATATTAATATTATTTATTTATTATTTAATTAAATTAATTTATAATCTATATAAAATTTATGTATATTGAATAGTGTTGGAAAAATAGATAAAATTACTTAATTATATTTTGTTTTTATGCCAACCCTGGATTGACAAAAAAAATTATTTAAAAAATCAATGCACCTGTAGTTTGCATTTGATTTATAGTTTACTTTTAAATTTCTTCTAATATCTAATTATAATATGTATATCATTTAATAGTCTCAAATAATAATAATAATAATAATAATATTCAAGTATAAAATTCATACTAATGTTTATTGTAAAAAAAAATTTATTATATAATAAAACACAAATTTATAATTGAGTGTAAATAAGTTGGGTGGGGGTGAGGGTGTCATAACAAATGTGTTTATAGTGTAATAGTTTAATTAAACTTTAGTTATTTGTTCATGATGACTTTACTATTTTTTTGTAAAAAAATAACTTTACTAATAATATCTATAATAATCTAATTTATGTAAAAATATTGATATATAATTATCAGCAGTTAATATTAATACATGTATGATATTTTGCATACCATACCTGCACCTGTAGTTTTTGTTGTTGTTATTTAGTTTAATCAATTTAATCTACTTATATAAACAGTATATTTAAATATCTAATAATAATAATAATCTAATCTTTCAAATATTTCAAGTATTGTAAGCAACAACAACATCATGACTGTATATATAAAATAAATTAAAAATTATTTGAATTTTATTTAAATGTTATTTTGGTTGTAAAGTTGTCTGTTGTAAAAGTTTAACATAAAAATAGTTTTAAAAATTTATTATAAAAAGTTTTATTTTATTTTTTTTTAAAATTAATTATTTGTTTCAAGACTTGGAGTCAAGAAGAGATGGTTAACAAACAGAAGACTCATTGTAGAGATAGTTTGGACCGATTTGGTGATGATTTGTGCGGACTATTACTCAGTTATATGCCGTTTGGTGACCGCTTTCGATACGATTGTGTGTCCCGACAATGGCATCGATTGATATTCAATAGTCATAACTATATTGAAAACAATTACAATTATGTGAAAAACTATGAAAAAATTGCCAAAAGATTAGCCAACAAAGTGTTTGAACAAAATTTATTTCAAAACAACAAATGCTATAAATTGTGGCTAAAATATGACAGTAATATCCGATCATTTTCGGTCACTAACGGAGCAAAAGTCGAAATTGTTGACCAATTGTTTGGAAAATATGCCAAAAAATTATTGGCAATCAGTTTACAAGAATTTGATCCACTTATCTGCGAATGGTTCCGAAAGTGTCAAAACTTATCGTCGATTGTCTTTATAAACCATTCGTGGCCGACAACTGATACCCTATCGTTGCTGTTCACCGATGATAACACCAGTAAAGTAGTATTGTTTTCAAAACTACGGAAATTAAACTTTTATATGACTTCGGCTATCAGTCAAAGTAAATATTACAAGAAATTCATTGAAAACTATTGCAACAGACTATCGATGTTTACAATACATTTCCAAACACAAGACACGGCCAACAATGATCTGATGGGATGTGTGTCGCAAATGAAACAATTAAGACATTTGTCAATCAATTCATATTTTGATTGTCTAATTGATTCAGAATTTATGTCTTCATTGGCTAAGATTGGTATTAATTGTCCAAAACTTAAACGACTGGATGTCTACATATGGTTTCTATCGGTCAATCAGTTTAACGATACGCTGAAAACTATTTGCCAAAACTTTAAACAATTAAAATCATTGACTTATTGGGGAAATATTAAACAACAGATTCCCGGCGCCGATAGTGGCAATGGATTTGAAATATCCAGCAATTTGTTGAATAGTCTAACAAAACTAACTCATCTGACATTGATGTCATACTATCGCTGGCATTTGACCGACAATTTTATTATAAATCCAATGAAATATATACCAAATGTTTACTATTTATATTTGGATTGTATTCATACAACCGATCAATTGTTTGATTGTTTGGCAAAACTGAAACATTTGCGTACATTAAGGCTAACATCGAGAAAGTTATGCGAAGATAATTGTAAACAATTTATTGAAACAAATGTCCAAAAACTAGTCAATAGTTGTCCGAAAATATCGACAATTTGGTTGAATTATAAAAATTATCTCTAATTTTCTAATAATATCTGTAATTGATTTTTTATTGTTATAAACATAATCATGATTGTAATATTTATCATTAAAATAATATTTTTTATTTTTTTTTTAAATTAGAAAATAATAATTTGAAACAATTTCATTAAATACTATTTATTCAATTGATATTTCAATATATATTATTTAATAATAATACTAATAAAAAAAACAATTAACTAATTAAATATTTATTGTGTACTTATTTTTCAATAACAATTAATTTATATTATATATGTTTCTCTTTATTTTTTTTAGATTTATACAGTAATATTGAAATATTCAATTGATTTGCTATACTTTTTAAATAAAAAATACAATTATTGATTTTGTTTTAAATAAATTTTTTGCATTAAATAATAATAAATTTATATTACAAACTTTATACTCTCATTAAAGCACAACAACAACAACATCAACAACAACAACAAAATTAATGATAATTATATTTTAATAATAATAATAATAATAATAATAATAAAGATAATACTGTACTAAATGATGTGACATATGATGTCATTACAAATGATAAAAATTTAATTAATTGAATTAATTACTAAATTTTTTTATGTGTCGACAAAAATGACTATATATTGTATGACTCTATTTTTAAATTTTATATATTAACCATTGATTCATATATATACACAGTTATACAGTATATATCTATCTATCAATAGACTAATTTTATTTTTAAAAACAAACAATTATTTTTTTTTATAAATAAAAATATTATAGTTATTAAACTCAAGATTTACAAAAAAAAATATTTATGTATGTTTGTGAATGTGTGTGACATTAAGTTGTTTGACTTAAATATAATGTTTTTTTAAAAATTATAATCAATAAATATATAGTATATTTATTTCATATATATATTTATATATTAATATATTGCTGACAATCAAAATAGATGTTTAAGTCTATTATAGATTATAGTTTAGTTTTTATATATTGCTATTTAAACTCTAGATATATGTGTTTTTTATTTAGACAATAATTACTATACAAAAAATATATTATAATAATAATAATAACTCATTCATTGATTTCTGGTTATTATAGTTTTGTTTTAAAATCACTTTTTTAAATCAAAAAAAATCAAGCAATCAATTCATTGACACTTCGGGTGGAGGTATTCATTGGTAAGCCTTTTGTCGGAAAGCGGCGGCAATTTCTTCGACAGTCTTACCCTTAGTTTCGGGTACTTTCTTGTAGACAAAAAGCCAAAACAATGCCAATAGGACAGTGAATATAACGAAAACATATCCTCCCATTGTTTCCTTTAATTTTAAAATTAAAAAAAATAAAGTTAAATATATATATACAGAATATTCTTGTATATCCAAAATATATACATAATATATTAGACTATAATAGTAAATATATATTAGATCATTACCTGTAGGGGCAAAAAGGCTAGACCGACAACAAAATTGGCCGTCCAGTTGACCGAAACGGCAATACTGGTGGCCATGGCTCGGGCACCTACACCGAAAAGCTCGGCAACGAGAAACCATGGTATCGAACCGGGACCCGATGCAAACATCACAATAAAAACATAGACGGCCAAAATGCTAACATAGCTCAACGATTCAAACGTATCTTTTAGTGCCAAACAAAATGTTAGGACAATCGTCGTGAACATCATTCCGCCCAAACCGGTCAACAGTAGTGTTTTGCGGCCAGATTTTTCAACCAATACCAGCGAAACGATTGTCATGAGTACATTGATAACACCGATACCCAGTGTAGCGTACAGTGCGGCCGATTTGTTTAGGCCGGCCTTTTCGAAGATGGATGTCGAAAAAAATATGACAGCATTGATACCGGAAAACTGTTGACTCAACATGACTACCAGTGCGATGATCAGCGGCTGCCTGAGCATCGAGTTGTACCACAGTTCGTGTAACGTTACTTTCGGTACCAATTTCATTGACTCGTATTCAGCCCGCATGTCGTCCATCTCGTCGTGCACTTCGATGGTACCCCTGAGCCAAGTCAACGCTGGGATTATAGTAATAAAAAAACAAAAAAACCGGTATTAATTTTCAATTATATATGACTTCCAATAGGGATGAGTATATACAGTAGGTGTATATATAGTATATATATGTATGCATATATTAAAGGCCCGTTACCTCGTTGTGCCTGAACATCTTTATTTTGAAATATTAGTATATATTTTGGCGATTCGGGACACATCGGCAATGTGGCCAACGTAAAGATTGCCGGCACTATTGTGACCGCTATTGTTGTTGTAGTTGACCGCATAATAAAATAAATTAATAATAATAATAAATTAATAATTGTTTTTTTTTTAAAAAAAACCCCCATATATTATATAACAAGTGGTTTTTTTATAAATAACTAATTTATTACCAAAAAGTATTGGCCACTTGTCCTCAGTTCCCAAAACCTGCGGCAAACCCAACAGATTTGACGTAAATATAGATATAGTGATCACCAGCTGATAGATAGTCCCGATAGCGCCCCTCATATTTGTCGGCGATATTTCCGTCAAATACATTGGCGCCAAACCAGCGTTTAAACCTTTAAATATTAAAATAATTATTTAGTTTAAAAAATTCAAATGTGTTATTAAAAAAATAATTAATGTAAAATACAAAATATTAATAACAATACTAAAAATATCTATTATACAATACATTGCCATAAAATTGTAATGTTATAAAAATATAATTAAATAAAAAAAATATAATATAAATGTCAATATGTTAATTTAGTATAGTTTTTTTTGTTATTGAAATGTTAATTATAAAAATATAAATTTAGATTTTCAAATATTAATAATAATAACATTAATAACACATAGACTGCTAAACTTTTAGATATTACAGAATATTCTGTATATATATATATATTCTATTATATATTTTTAATGTCAATTGTCGTGAGTAAATATTTTCGTAAAATACTTGAAACTGATCCAACATTTTGGCTTTTTTATGCCAACATTATGTCATTGTTGTCTATTAGTGTGTGTGTGTGTGTGTGTGTGTGTGTGTGTGTAAAGTGTGACAAAATGTATTGACAAAACAATAGCAGCAAAAAAACATTTTCAAAAAAACAAACCTGCATTGAATCCGATGAAAAAACGGCCCATTATTAGCATCTCATAGGATCGGCAAACCTTGGAGAAGCCCATGAGTCCGGCGGCCAAAAATACAAACACATTGTTCCAGAGTAGGCCACCTTTGCGGCCAAACTTTTCGGCTACATAGCCGGTCAACAGTGCACCGATCATACCGCCGATACAAAAAATCGATACCATTATCGAGTAGATTAGGTTAACAGTGGTTAGATCATCGTCGCCGATGGTATCAGTTGTCGAGTTGTGGCCACCGATTGTCGTGTTGCCGAAGATATCGTGCAATGGTGTCAGGTCTTGAAATCGTTCTCTATGTGCTTCGCGGATAAACTTTTGGACCAACTCTTGGGGCGCATTGACAACACCGGTATTATATCCGTGTTGAAAGGATGAGCCCAATGCTGCCGCCGATATGGCAAACACTAAGTGACTGTTTAATCCCTATTTTTTAATAATAATAATAATTAATTGTAATATATATATATAAAATGTAATCAAAAAATTTGAAATATATAATCCAATATATATATATATATATATATAATATTTATATAATTTTATGTATGGAATATATGTAATGTAATGGATATTTCAATTGGCATTACATGTAAATTATTGAAATTATTTTTTGTTTTTTAAAAATTAGTTAATAAATAATTGTTTTGGAAAACTTGTTTATTATTCAAATTCTCAATTGTAATTGTTATTCAATATATAATATATGACAAACGTGACATTTTTAAAAATAATTTTTTTTAATTTATGGCATGCAAATTGAATATTGAATTATTTATTATCAATTTAATAATTAGTTTTTTAGATTTTATAAAACTAAATTATGTGCTTATCTATAATCCAAATATTTATAAATTTTGTTGTTGAAAAATATAACTTTTTTTAGCAAATATTTAATAGTTAAACATTTTAATTTTTTAAATATATAATTTTATAGTTTATCTGATATGATATTTCAAAAAATATTTATTTTGTCTGCATTTGTATATATCATATTTAATTTATTATCAGATTAAAAGTTTATTTAAATAAAGTTGTATTATTTTTTTAAAAAATAAATAAAAATGTTATGTTCAAAAATATATATCAATAATATAGTTATACCGTAGAGTAAATATATATATATATATATATATATATATATATATATATGAATGTTGTCTAATAACAGGGAAATGCATCCAAAATTCAATGCACATGTATGTCGACCTTTAAGGAAGGGGAGAGAGAAAGGCTCGTCTCGTAGACACACCATATATACAACCAATAGAAAGTGTGGTAAATAAGGAGTGTCTGGTTTTATTACGGCATCGCAAAAGTACCGGTGCCTCGTTTTTGAGCTATTTATATAATATTATATATATATATATAAGATATATTGATTTTTTTACTGGTACTCTAGTACTCGTATTGCACATCACTATTGAAAATGCAATCAATACTTGTATTATTATTATTATTATTATACTGTAAAGTACAGTATTATTATAATCATTAATTCATTATTATTATCGTAAATATTATTATATTACTACTGTATAATAATTTAATTTACCGGTATATCTATTAATATAATAGATATATTTGGTTTCTAATGTTTATTCAATATTATATATATGATATATCATTAGCTAAAAATTATTTTTAAAAAAATTGCATTTTCTAATTAGAAATTATTATATAAAAATAAAATGCATTTATTTACTTATATAAATGCAACAAATATTTTATTTTTAAATAGAAAACTTACAGATCTCCTAATGTGTGGCATATTATATCAATTGATTATAATTGTTGGTATTATTATTATTATTATTAGTTAATTCAATACAAATCAAGATTTTTGTTTGTTTTTATTGTTGACAATATTGTCATCAAAAAAATAAAATAAAAGTTTTCAAATAAAATTTATTTTACTTATTGTATTGATATCAGGATTTAATATTAAATAAAAAAAACAATATTTTTGTCGACAATTTTTATGTTCACTATTCAAATAGACACGAAAAAAACAATATGTATTTTAACCGTCAAAAGCAAATAATAGAAAATAGTTTGTTAAAAACATTATATTAAAAAATAAATTTAAAAATTATTATTATTGTTATTATTATATTATAAGTAAAAATAATAATAAACGCAAAGTTAGGATGACTTGATGTCTGAATAATATAACAAACAGACAATACTTATATAAAATAAAATATTTCGTATATGAAATTAAATAATAATAATTTTTTCACTTAAAATAATTAATTTTTATATAACAATTTGTTATTTAAAAATTATATAACCAGATAGTAATTTCTTATATATATACAATGCATATATAAAATACTGTTGACTTAACTTTTTTTTTAAAAAAAATACAAATTATTTTTTAAAAATATATAAGAATTTATTAGTAGAAAATTATATAATTTATATCATATATATATATGAATATAGAGGTATAATAATTAGATAGAAAAAAATGTGGAAATGTATGAAAAGCCGGATCACTTGACATATACTACTATACAATACAGTAGACACACGAGTAGTAGTAGTAGTAGTAGTAGTAGTAGTATGTGTTTCGGCACTACCTATCAAAATACTGCCTACGAAAACATACCATTATTTTTATGGAGTTCTTTGACGCCGGACTAATGGCAACGTCAACCTAACCGCACACACATTTTATACATACATATATATATATTGTATATTATATACACACACACATACATACATACATACTGTACATACATACATATATATTGTATATTATATATACACACACACACATACATACATACATACTGTACATACATACATATATACACACACGCATGACATCCAATGATATACAAACATATTTGTGCCATCATTTTCATTGTAATCATTAGATTATTAGTTTTTTTTGTGAATACTATTAAAAGTTATTACTAATAATAATAATAATAAATTATTGATTAATTATACATATACTAAATATACTAACATACTAAATGTATATATTATTATTATTACTTATATATATATAAACAGTATACTACATCAATAGCTAATTAAATTTATATATCTATTTCCTCTATATTATGATACTGTATATACCGTACAGTAAGTTAAACAACTACAGTATCGACAGCATCTGTATACCCCCTCCCCTATACCTCTAATAGTTTATACATATATGTATATTAGTTTAAATAGTTGTTATGATTATACTGTATATGTATATAACTATAAAAAAAAGATAACTATATATATTGGTTCCGATTAAAGGCATTGACCACAAATTATTTTTTTGATTATTTTAATTGTTTTTTTAAAAATTATTATTAAATGATTAGTTTTTATAAATGCTGGTAGTTTTTTAAATAAAAAAATGACATTAAAATACACTAATTACTGTAATTGCTATTATACTTCAATATTCAATACTAAGATAATATATATATTTTTTAAATTTTAAATAATATTTTTCTCACTACTAAAATTATGATATGATATAATATAACAAAGTTTAACTAATATAAGTTAATAATTTACTTTATTATTATTATAAATTATAGACATATAGTTCAATATTAAATAATAATAATAATATTAATAAATTTATTATTATAATAATTATTATTTTAAAATTGCAATTCATTGTTCGCTAAATTAAATAAAAAAACTAATTTTATGGTTATGTCATATATGATATATAAAAATTAGTTTACGTATAAATCTTTTATAAAATTATATAAAAAATTTATTAGTTGTTATTCATTATTAATAATTAATATAATACTAATAATTATTATTATATCATATAATTGCCTTCAAATGGTAAATAATGATAATATGCATTAAATATATATATATATATACCAAATACCGTATTTGCTCACCTTTATCGACATATTATTTGTTAAAAATCGGCTTAAAAAATTGTTTGCTGCCAGGTTAATTTTCACATTTAATTTCATACCTGGCGCAAAATGTGATTGTAATTAAAAATCTATTTATCTAATTAATATTTTTAAAAATATATTTATCTCCTATATTGATTATATTGATTTATATTGCAAATTATTATAGCCAATGTTATTAAAACTTATTGGTTATTAAAAATTCACTTAAAATCGGTTTTTAATAAACAATAATTACAAAAACTTTTTTATTGTTATTTTTATATTAACTTAAACAGACAGGTCGACTGTCGACAAATTAGTTGTTATGTATTTTCACAATTTAACCCCCATGTAGTTATTGGCGTATTAATACGGTATCACTACATTAAGTATTACAATTTGATAATAGATTTAATATGTTTTTTAAAAAAATATATTTAATTTAGAGCATTAGAAAACTAACATAATATACTGTATATATACCTACTATTATTGAAAATGATATTTATATACCATTTAAACCAAAAGTATCAAGGTTATTATATATATATTTCTAAAAAATGTATGTTTTTATGGTTTAAATTTTTTTTCATAATGATTCGACATTTAATAAAAAAAATGTTTTTTAAATATATATATTAGTTATATATTTATTATTATTATTATCATTGTTATTATACATTACATCAACAATTAATGTGTTTTTGTGTTTAATTAATATATTATATCATATATACTAAAAAAATAAATAGATTATTCTGTATAATAATAATAATAATACAATATTATATTCATTATAGTAAGCAACAGCTGCTAATATTATTTGGTATTACTATTATGTTTGTCTATACAAACTAGTAATACTGTATTTATTATAAATAATTAATTAAAATTTGAAAAATTATGATAAATAGTTATATTTTTAAAAAAGATGCATAAATACGACAATTAAGATAAATATACTTTTGAAAAACATATATTGAATAGTAAATAATTATTATTTCTAATACAATATACAATATATATATATATATAACAATAAATAAATTTTTTTAAATAAAAAGTAATCTCTAATTTGAAAACATTTAAGCTTACAAACAATGTATAAATATTTTTTTTTTTAAAATAACATTTCATAATTTATTAACTCATTTTATTTTTAAAATAAACTAAAAAAATAAATTATAGACAAAATAAACTATTATTGTTTTATAAGATCTTTTTTTTTAAAAAAAATATTATACTTTATTTTTATTAGACACAAAAAGAAAAAATATTTTGTATTAAATAAATCTATATTTATTAAAATATATTATTAATATTTATAACATTTTTTGCTATCAAATGTTATGATGCAATAAAATATTATACATTAACATCTGGTGTCTGAGTAATATTGCCAAAAATTTTCATCACTAATATTGATTTAATAATTTTTGTTTACTGACTATAAAAATAATTTTTTTTATACTAAATAATGGGTATTATATTTGATATGAAAAATAGTATCATATTATTAAACAAACACGGATTCAATAATAACTATTAGTGATTATCAAAATTTTTTATTGGCTTATTTTGATTTCTATATTATTAATCAATTATGTTAAATATATCAATAAATAAATATCATGAATTTGATTCATAATGATAATATTATTTAATTAGTTATTATTAAACTAATTATATATATATATATATATACAGTATATACATGTATATATTACATACACAAATATATATATATATATATATATATATATATTGTATAAAGTTTAGTTACAATTTAAATATGTAATTTCAAAACAATGTGAATAAATGTGATTTATTAAAAAATCATTTTTTAAATATAAAACTTGATAAACATATGTATATATATATATATAGTATATTACGTTTGTTTAATTTAGTCTCATATATACGGTATATATTGTTTATTTTTAAATTTTAAAAAAATAAATGTGTTATTTGATAACTAATTTCAAAGATATTTGAGCTCAAGAAATAACAAATTATTTTGTATTATATAATATAAAAAATTATAATAATAACAAATTTTTTAATTTTTTAAAGTAATTTTCAGTAGTTTTTTTGATAAATTAATTAGAAAATAATTATTGAATAGAAATAAATTACTATTATTGTTAAAAAAGTTAACTTAAATTATAATTTTTCAAACATACCCTTAAACGAGAGTTACTTTCATGATTAGCACTCATGATTAGTGGTCATCAATCAAATTATTATTGCTATTATTGCCAATAATTGATTAATTGATTATTATTATTAGTAGTTAAATATGAAAAACTATTTTTTTTGTTATATCCGGGTTAAATTGATAAGCAAAAATAAAACTACTGGTGCTTTTAAGGACTTCCCAAAACACAGTAAGTAAACGGATGTTTCATATAAAAGTTAGTGTCACTGACAATAACTCAATACTAATACTGAATATCTTTTTTCTATTGAAAACATACTATTAGTTTATATATGATATAAATTTATATTATACTACAGTATATATATATAGAGTATTGCTGTATAAACAAGAATCTATTGCTTTTGGAGGAAAATAAAAACTATTAGACTATTAGGCTATTAATATATAGTATTAATAATACCTAAAGAATTGTTTGTTTTTCTAATGAATTGTCAGAAAAATTCTTCGCCAATAAGTGTCAAGAATTTCTACGAGAATCGACTGATGAAACTCCCGGCGCGCAGTGTTATTGGTTTATGCCGTACGTGTGTGTGGTGTGTATGTGTGTGTGTGTATGTAAGTGTAATGTTGTAAATGTTTATGTAATGATATATATATATATTAGACATATGTAATGCCAATGCAATACCCATTACCAGAATATAAACACACATATATATATACAGTATATATGTATATAAAGAATATTATAATCATAAATAAATAATGATTTACTTACACCAGAATCGTCTCGTCGTTGTCCTAAATTCATTGGCAAAGTCGACAAATCGGTGGTCGACGAAGCCATGGATTCGGCCGGTGATGGACTCTTGTCCCGATCCCTGTCCGGTATATTCAGATAAGCCATTTCCGATAGCCTTAGGTCGTCCATTTAGCAATGGTGTGGATATATTATTATTGTTTTATATTTATATTAGTAAGATTTTTTTAGGTGATAATAATTTTTCAGATATTATAAAAAATTATTTTATATATTTATTTATTTCTTTTTTTTGCGACAATAACAGTGAAACCCCAACAAAAAATTACACAACAAATTTTTTTTAATGATAATAACAATCAGTTAAATATATATWTATATATATATATATATATATATACTTTATTAATAATAATTATTATCAATTTATTTATTATAATCAATTATAATTAATTATAAATTGTTTATATATTTTTGTTCATAAATATCAATCAAATAAATAAAAGCGATTCTTTAAATTCTTTACTATATATTGATGACTCTCTCTCTCTCTCTCTCTCTCTTTCTCTCTCTCTCTCTCTGTCTTACTCTCCTCTCACATGACTTTTCGCATTTTCAAAGACATTAGTTTTTTTTAAAAAAAGTCAACATTACATAAATCACAAAAAAACATAAATAAACAAAACACAAACAAATTTAATTGACCACTTGATTGATGAGATCAAAGTTTTTATTTAATTTATTATTTATTTATTAAAAATTAAGTTTTATATATGAGAAAATTTTTTTTTTTATTTAAATAAAATAAACAATTACTGAGTCTCTCACTGAGTGATCATCACTACTACTGCTGGTTGAGAGAAGAAGTGTCTGCCGTTGAAACAAATGTAAACATCGATGGATGAAAAATATATGTATTATATATATATACTGTATATCTATCTTAAGATACTTGTGCTCAAAGCACATACACAGCAATGTCGATCCAATGACTTTTGGATGTGTGTGTGTGTGTGTGTGTGTTGGTGTTGGTGTTGGTGTCTGTACGGTATGTATGGTTTGTATAGTCTTTTCCAGCGATCGATTTGAACGCAAGCGCTTTGGTCTGTAAAAACCTCGAGAGAAGAGTAGTAAAAGAGATGATATTTAGGTGTTATATACTATATATATATGCCATCCGTATCATCCGTTTGTGTTTTTTAATAAGGAGATGGGCTATGAATGATGCGTTTAGGAAAATACAATGTGTTTTGTGGGGCACTAAAAATAGAGAGATAGTGTGTGTGTGTGTGTGTGTGTGTGTATGTGTTAGACATATGTTGATATCTAATCTGATTTTTGTTGTTGTTGTTGTTGTACAACCCATTTGGCACCAGTATCTAGTGATATGGTATATAGTATACCGTATATACACACAGACACTCACATCCTCTTTATCGACACTAATCATCAAATAAATGGGAAAATGAAATGTCGTTTTTTGTTGTAAATACAAATCCTATGTTTGTCTCTCTCTCTCTCTCTCTCTTTCATGAATTTATCTGATGATTAAAATAATTTTTTTGTGGCACTCATTCATTAACAAACACTAATACACTATGATTTAAATTGTTTTTTAATAAGTTTTAATAGATAGATAGATGGGGGAAAACACACACACACACACACACACACACACACACACACACACACACACACACACACACACACACACACACACACACACACAGAGAGAGAGAGAGAGAGAGAGAGAGAGAGAGAGAGAGAGAGAGAGATTACTAAATATATATAAAAAAGTTTTGACATTTGACATAAAGACAAAAAATTAATGTGTATTTATATATTCATTAACATTAGTCTCATTACTGTATTTTTGCGAAATTTCTTATCTGATAATTGTGTATATTATTGGAAACAAATTTTTTTTAGTTTAACATTTAATTTATAAAAAAAAAATAAAATAAATTCTTGATCTTTAATAATGTCTTAACATTGAATTTTACTAACTTTTAATTATATGTCGTGTGTAAACAAAAATAAAAGTTTTAAAAACTAAATGACTTAATTTACTTACTATTATAATTAGCACATTATATACTGTATATATATATATATATATATATTTAAATTTATCAAAAAACAAATAGTTAGTAACATGTTGTAAACATTAACATAATTATATTTTTTATTTTAAAAAATATAAGATTTATTATTACAGTAATTAGTATTATTTTTCATTAAATTTGATAAATATTAAAAACATTTTTAAATGCAAATAAATTTATAAAAAAAATTTTGTTGAGTCCATTGTAATTTACACAATATATTTCACAAATTATTTACAATTTATAACTTAGTTTATTAACAAATTTATTTTTAAAAAAAAAATCAATATTATTAATTATATCACATGTTTGTGTTTTTTTTTGACAAAAATAAAAACCATTTAAAAAACAAACAATTTCTGTATTAACTTGTCTTCGACAACAACAAAAAAAATCAGAAATCAAAACATAATTTTATTATTATTATTATATCGAAAATATTACCGAAATTTTTGTTTAAAAAACATTTCGATCAATCGATCGGTCGGTAATTATTCGATAAACGCTTTGATATTAAGATTCAATTGTTTGGCCAGTTTGTCGGCAAAGTCGAATGTAACCGAATTCGATATCTGATATTTTGTTTGACTCGATAGCCAATTGGTTTTCAGTTTTTCGTGTGTCCTCAACACCAGCTTCAAGGATACCAACTCTTGCAGTTCGCTCAGCAATTTGTTGGACGCCTCAGTTATATACTGGTCATTGGGTTCGGCATTCAATTGGATTAGTGCCCGATAGCAATGGAAAATACGTTCAAACGGCGATCCTTTTGGACCGCTATAGTCGCGATGATCGTCACCGCCACCGCCGACTGTGGTCACAGTCTTTCGTTTACGACGTTGTTGTTTGCCTTCGTATTTGACGAAAACTTTTTTGTCCGCTTTTACCGAATTATTGGACGCCAAATAGCTGGCAATCAACAAATATTTCATCGAATCGGGCCATTCATCGTACGTACCGTCGGCACTTTTGTTGACCACTTTCATCGGCAGATCGTCGAGTATTTTCAACAACTGCGGCTGAAAACGTTTGTACAGTTTGGCCGTTTCGTTAGCTTGCAGTTCGTCCATTGTTATCGGTTCGATGTATTTGGAAAAGTTGGCCAAACATATCGACCGAATTTCCCTAAGATTTGAACTCATTTGGATCAATGTCTTCACTATTATATTGACGTAACTAAACAACAAAAAAATTGTTATTTCATTTCAATTATTACCGTAAATCAAATCCAAACCAAACAACTAAACACTTACTTCTGATAAAAACTTTTATCATAATTTCGGGGACAATCTCTGACCAAAATAGCGGTCATCTCGTCCATCGAATAGTTATCGAAATTGATTTGTATGGCCGTTACCGGCGATGCTGTTATCCGGCAAAACCATTCGATTGGCTGACAGCCGACAAACAGACAAGTAATCGGATACTTGTTTTCGGTTAGTTCGCAAATCTTCATAAAACCGGTCATCAGTTCGTTGTTGTTAACAGTTCCGAACAGATGATGATTGTTGTCGACAGAATCAAACACTAGTATACATTGGGTGTATGTCGTTGTCGTCGTCGACGACGACGATGAAGAAGAAGAAGACGATGACAGTGACGATGATTTCGGTCTACCTCTTGGTTTCACTGACTCGACTGTCGTCGGCTGCGGACACGAGTAATGATATTCAAGAAGTTGTTTGATTTGTTCAATAAAATCGGTCAATGAGTTGCATTGGATGTGCTGTTTGTCGCCATTGTTGTAGTCGTCGTCGTCGAAACAGTGGATCCGATTGTTCAGCTGATTCAGTATACTTTCGTAGACCATTTTGGTGCTGAAGAGTTCCATACAGTTTAGGTAAGCGTATAGTGAATCGCCGGACGATTCCATCAGTGTCTTCGTTACTGATGTCTTGCCAGTGGATCGGACGCCGTAAATGATAATCAGTGGACACAGTCGACGAAGATATTCGTCTAAGAGATCAATTTGACGATCGCGACACAGATAGCGACTCTTGACCAGCGATAACATCGTATCTTCTTGTTGTTCATCGGCGGCCATATCTTCATTGATGATGTCTTCTTTGGGATGTCTTCTATATCTTTGTTATACTTGTCTGATGTCTGGTATTGTATTGACTGACTGTTTGTTTGTCTGTTCAGACAATTAGCGCCAAAACTATTAGTGAACAACACTTTCACATCCCTTGACATCTGTCGTCGCTTTTTGGCGACTAAACAGTCAGTCATACAGACAGTGTGTTTGTTTGTCTGTCTGTCTGTCGGTCTTGTCGTTGGTCTTTTACTTCTCTAAAACATTTGATTTGATCCAAACATTTTGGACACCGACAGCTGATCCCGTAATCATCATCTTCTTCATCATCATCACCGACAATGGCATTGATGACATCGGGTCCGATAGCCGAACGCAATCAAGACGCTACCATCTATGTCGGCGGATTGGATGAAAAAGTTACCGAAGCCATACTATGGGAACTGTTTGTCCAGGCCGGGCCAGTGGTCAACGTTCATATGCCCAAAGATCGGGTTACTGTCCAACACCAAGGCTACGGTTTTGTTGAATTTATGTCCGAAGAAGACGCCGACTACGGTATTAAGATCATGAATATGATCAAACTCTACGGCAAACCGATTCGGGTGAACAAAGCTTCGGCTCATCAGAAAAACTTGGACGTCGGCGCCAACATATTCATCGGTAATCTCGATCCGGAAGTCGACGAAAAACTATTGTACGATACGTTCTCGGCTTTTGGTGTCATTTTGCAGACACCGAAAATCATGAGAGATCCGGAAACTGGTAATAGCAAAGGCTATGCATTCGTGAATTTTGCCAGTTTTGATGCCTCCGATGCGGCCATCGAAGCCATGAACGGCCAGTATCTGTGCAATCGGGCCATAACTATTAGCTATGCATTCAAAAAGGATGCCAAAGGCGAACGACACGGATCGGCCGCCGAACGACTACTGGCCGCCCAGAATCCGCTAGCCCAGGCCGACCGACCGCATCAATTGTTTGCCGACGCGCCGCCAATGGCCGGCCAGGCGGCAGTAGCACCGCCGCCGGCAGCCATGGCACCGATGATGATGCCGATGGCGCCCCAGCACGCTGTACCGCACGCTGGCGGTCTCCAGCAAATGTACTACGGTCACGGTGGCCACGAAGCCGATGCCCTGAATATGATGCAAATGATGGGCTGGGGTATGGCTCCGCCACCCCAACAACGACCCCAACCGCCGCCTCCACCACAGGCCCAGTTCTTTCCGCCGCCACCACCGCCACAGTTTGCGGCAATGCAACCGCCGCCGCCTCCGTTTGCCAACGTTCCGCCTCCACCGCCACCACCCGGTCCTCCGCCGCCGCCACCGGGAATGCCGCCTCAGTTTACAACAGCAGCACCGCCTCCGCCCCCACCCCCACCACCTCCTCCACCGCCGCCGCCTCAGTAGTCATGAGTTTATTATTATTGAGAGAAGAATTGTATTTCATTTTTTTATATATATATATATTTCATATATTTTTTTTTGTTCAAACATTTTGTTTATTATTATTGATTATTTGATAAATTGATTTTCAAATTTTTTTATTTTATTAATTCATTAAGTATTAAGATTTAATAATAATAATAACATTTGATTAACAAAAAAAACAATCAATCAAACAAATTATTTAAATATAAATAAATAAAATTTATATTATTATCAATTTAACAATCGATTATAACTGTAAATCTAAATAACAATTAGAGAACTGTTAGCTATTTATGAGTTCCTCTATACATAAGTTAATTATTTATTTATTTTTGTTTATAAATAAATTTAATTAATATTTTATACATTATTATATCGAAAGATAGTTTCACCAGAAAATGTGTTTTAAATTTTAAATATTGGATTCACTGTTAATAATAGTAGTGGTCTGTTGTGTCGGTAGATCTTCTGGCGGTATACCAGAAATCGATTGGTTATGTTGTGACCTTTTTACCGACGGTTTGTTGGCCAATATTTTTTCGATATCATCGATCATTGTTGCCGACAGTTTGGGAACAATCTAATTAGAAGAAGAAATTAAAAATTGTTTTTTTTTATTAATCCAGGTATTCGGTGGTGATATTGGATGGATGGATGTCTACAAACTTTGAGTGCGTGCAGCTGTTGGTACAGTTGGTCGACAGTTGTCGGCGATATTAGGACACAGTTGACATTGTCGTTCCTCAATGACCAGGCTTTGAGAAATTTTATAGAAATTGGGTAAAGAAAACAAACAACAAAATTATTAAAAAAAAAATTCAAGACTAATGGATCCAATGAATTATCTACTGATCCTCTCTCTCTCTCTCTCTCTCTCTCTCTCTCTCTCTCTCTCTCTCTCTCTCTCTCTCTCTCTCTCTCTCTCTCTCTCTCTCTCTCAATCTCTAACTATGTCGTCCTTCTCGCTTACCGATGATCAGCTGTGTCTGATCGCAGCCAAGTTTGTCGGCAATGAGCGACAGTTCCATATGTTTGGCATTTTGTGTCACCTTTTCCTCGTAGGAGGCATTCCGTCGGGTAATCAATTGTATGCCTTCGTCGTAGTTCAACGACATCGGCGACCAAACAATACAACCGATTCCTATCTTATGGAACAACTCAGGCATAAACAGTTCCATCTTATCTCTGGTAAACATATGGTACTCCATTTGTTCGCATACCGGTGCCGGACAGTTAAACTGGCGGCCAATCGAAAATGATTCCGATAAGTGCATCGGTGCGAACCGAGACGTGCCTTCAAATTGTGGTTTAAAATATATTGAATATAAAAACAAAATTAATTTATATATATACAGACAATACTTTATTTGATATTTTCAATGATTTTAGTTTTTTTTTTAGATAATTTAATTAATTTTTTTACTGTAAATCCTTATCATCACTAGAAAAAAAATTTATTTAACTTTTTGGTTGTTGTGTATGTTTAATAATTGTCTTTCAAATATAACTATATTTAATGCTCTATATATTTAAGGTATATATGATTTGACTGATTGATTGAACTTTTAAAAAAAAAAATTAAATTAAATTAATTATTTTTGTTTTGTGTAAAGATTTTTTTTTTGGTTTTGGTTAACCAATAATAATAATATAATACAAATTATAAGACTAACCCCAATATAAAATGATGCCATTGTTCATGAGGTAAGCCATAGCTCGGATCTAATTATTTTTAATCAATCAATTGGCAAAAGTTTTTTTTTTAAAAAAATTATTAGTATTTTTTTGGTCAAATTAGGTAGGAATGGGGTGGGAATCGGAGTTTATACACACCAGTTCCTCCATCGGGCACATGCCGTCCAATTTATGTACAACCAGTATATCAATGTATTTCAATTGCAATCGTTTCAGCGATGCCTCGACGGCTTCGACAATAAATTTTCGGGACAGTCCGCCGCCATTGTGAGCACTGGGACCGTTAAACCAGAACAGTTTGGTCGACACGATAAACGACGATCGTTTCCAACCTTTTTTCTTCAATATGTTACCCAAGACTAGTTCGGCCTTACCATTGGCATAGCCGTCGCCGGTATCGAAATAGTTGATACCATTTTCGTAGGCCATTGTCAACAATTCTTCGGCAGTTTGTTCAGTAATTCTGGTGCCGAACGCATTCCAACAGCTGAAGCCCAAGTTCGGTACTCGGAGACCATTTTTGCCCAGATTTCTGATTGGGGTTAGTTTTAGGGGGTGAGAGTAGAGGTAATCAATTACCATCAAATTTATGACTACTACTACTACTACTACTACTATTACTATCACCATCATCGGTAGATACCTGTATTTCATGGCCACAAAACTGGTTGGCGCAAAGTTGGCAAATATTTCGTAGTGCGGCGACGATGGTGTGCCACTAAACAGAGGCGAATTACCGCCGATTGTCATATAAGAAAAGTCGTTCAGTGGATCCTTGTTGTTGTTGGTGGTGGTGGTGGTAGTGGTAGTAGTGTTGTTGGTGTCGATTGTTGTCGAGTAGTTTCTTGAGCTCATGATAATGATGTTTGTGTGTCCAGTAATGTGTTGTTTACAATATATATACCGTATATTATATATATATACAGAATCTCAAGGTTACTGCACAGCAACAAAAAATTCTGTTATCAACACATTATTATTAATAATAATAATTTAAACATTTTTGGTTTGTTTTGAATAAAATTACTCGAGTTTTTTTTTATTAAAAATGTTATTTATTTATTTATTAATTTATTTTTTTTGTCGAAAAAAATCAATTAATTAATGCAAAATACAATTCAAATGAGAGAGAGAAAGAGAGATAATAATGAAGAGTTTTATATATATATAAGAGAAATAGATTAGAAACAAAATAACATTTAAAAAATTATAATTCAAATTTGAAATATTTTTTGTTTGTTTTGTGTGTGTTTTATATCATTGAAATGGCTTTTTTTTAAATGGCCACAAAAATCTTGGCATCAATTGTTTTGTGACAATTGGTTACCACATTTGCGCAGTGCTTAAGAGCCCTGTGCTCTCAATCCACAGATTTATATATATATATATATAATATATATAAATATATATATATATATTCACATCATTTTACAGTAACAAACAAACACACAGATCAAGAGTGGTTTGTGTGTTTGGATATCAAATAATAATAATAATAATAATAATTAAAAAAAAGAGATAATGACATCCCAGACAAAAAACATGATATCATTTTATATAATATTAAATAGTTATTACAAACACGTTTAAAACGCTATTATTATAATTAATTGAATTAATTATTAATTAAATTAATTATACATTTCATATATATATCTCTCTCTATCTTAAACTTTCTCTAACTCATCCCCCAAAATACCTTTACAATCAATATTCAATAAATATATTAATATTTATATAATACATAATAATATTATTATTACAATAATAATAAAAAAACAAATGAAAAACATTATTATTAATATTAATATATTTTTTGTATGTTTGAATACAATCGTTCAATTCATTCAATTCCTATTTATTTAATTTTTTTTATACAAATAGCTTTAAGCTTAACAAATACTTTTACACTTTTCTTTAACTTTTTTTTAATAATATTATATTATTATAGACTTTTCACATCATTTGTTTCCAATTATTATTATTTTTTGTTTTGTTTTTGTTATTTTAAATATCACTTTTCAAATTTACATTCATTTCTGAATTTGCTTGCATTTCATGAATATATTATTATATATATATATATCTTATATGTGTTTAATTTAAATATATGTTTGCGAAAGATATATTCAATAATAATAATAATAAATTATTATTACAATAAAATCAAATTTAGAGAAATTATTTTTTTTTTTAGAAAAAATTGTTTAAAACATATATAAAATATATCCATGAAATACAATCACAAGATTTGTTTACCAAATGTTTTTTTATATATATATCATTATAAATATATTTATAATAAACTCAATTATAATGTTGATTATCAATATAATGATAATAATGATAATAATAATAAGATTAGAGATTATTTCTTAAAGAGTTATCTTAATTACCACACCTTTTGTAAACAACAAAAAAATTATTTTTAAAAAATTAAAGACAAAGACAAAGAGCTATAAAAAAAACTTTTTCAAAGTTTTTTATCATCTGTAAACACAAATACAATAATTGTGTAATTATAATGATAATGATAATAATACAGTAATTTTTAGGACCCTTAAGTTATTACAAAAAAAAAATTTTTGTTTGTTTGTTTGTACAGTAATATTATCGAAACAATTATTTATTGATAAAAAAATTGTTTCCCCCAAATGACAACAACAACAATAAATTTATAATAAAAAAAACACTATTATTATTGTTGTTGACAATTAAATTGTCACACAAAAAAAAAGACAGTCAATTAATCTAAAGATTAAATTAGATACACATAAATATATATATATAAAAAATGAGATTAAATCTACATTTGTTTCAATGTTTTCAATCGTTATACTTATTTAATATAATAATAATACTATTATTTAGAGTCTGTTTTAATTAGTAGAGAATTCGCAGTTTTTAAGCAAAATAAAAATATTTTTGTAAATATTTTTAAGTGATATATATATATATATAAATATCAGTATAAAGTCATACATATTTTACTACTACTACTAATAATAATTATAATAAAAACTCGTCATATATTTAGCGTATCATAGAATAAGTAATAATAATAATAATAATAATTCATAATGATTGTTATGTATGTATATAATCATAATAGTATTCAATTAATAGCAAAAATGTTAATAATATTAAATATATATGTATAGTATTTAAATTATTGTTTTTTAAATTTTTATAATGTTTGACATTATGTTGTTTTTTATTTCGATAGCTTTTATAGAGCCACTCGAATAATAGCAATGTATTTATTTAATTAATTAATTGTTTGTAATGTAATGTCTTTTTATTTTTAATTAAAAATGTTTTAATAATGTGCTTAAAAGAGTATAGAGTTATATATGTATATAATTACTTGTATATTAATTAATTAATAATAATAATAATAAAGAGAAATAAGTATTTTTTTGTTTCAATATAATTATTGAATATTATTCAATATATATATATATATATCATATATACTGTATATCATATAATAGTTGACTGAGTCTAGTATATATAAATTAGAAAGCAAATCGACATTTATATTACTAATCATCGATATATATATATATAATTAACTAATAAAAAAAATAAATCAAAATAAATTGATAGCAAATAGTTGAGAGCGAGAAATAATTTTTAAAAAAAAATTCAAATTAAAAATAAACACTTATTGTTTGCATTGAAAACAAAAAAAAATATCATATCATTAGCCCATTTGCCCGACAATTCCTCAGAGAAATTCCTTATCACAGCTTAAAGAATTAAATTCTTGTATAATTTTTTTTTGTTTAGACAATAATAATAATCATAATTAATAATAATTAAAAAAAACTGAAATAATTAATAATAATTATTTTAAAAAAAAACTTTGGATTTGTTTCCTTAATTACACTTTTTTTTCTTTCATTTAAAAAAAATATGATTATTAGTATTTATAATAATAATAATAATAATAATAATGTATTTTCACAACTAATTAAAGAGACGACGAGGAATAAAAAAAATTGATTATTAATTCATTTCAGAGATATATATATATATATATATAATGTAATATAATTGCAACGAAAAAAACCAAAAAAAAAAAATTATTATTAAAATAAAATAATATTTTTTCTTTAACTTAAAACTTAAATGAGTTTTGAATTAGATTTGAATGATTGACGATCTCATTGAACGACGCGGCGTTACGGTTGATCTCATTGAGCGAACCCATGGATGTGGACAGTGATGTCGTGCCATTATTATTATTATTATTGTTATTATTATTATTGTTATTATTATTATTATTATTGTTATTGTTTTGCGTGAGATTAGTCATGAAACTGCTGTTCAGCGACGCGATGGCATCCCTGTGCCGTTTTTCGGCGGCCGCACAGCTCAGTATGATCTGTGCCTCGAACTGATGCTTGGCGTCGGTACGCATCTGTTCCATATGTGTTAAGAGTCCTATGAAAATGATGGACAGTTAGATAAAAATATCTATAACTATATAAGCGCTGGTATGTTATGTTACGGTAATAATACTGTAATAATACAAACCAATTTCAGAGGTGAAAACACTGGTACAGACACTGCACGGCCACAAAGGTATCGACGAAGATGACGATGACGATGATGTAGGCGACGACAGCGCCTCCGGATGGCTCTCCAGATGACGGCGATAGGAGCCTTCATTCAGATATGACTTTCCACATATGGGACAGGTGTACGGCGATATCATACGATTTTCTCCTAATAACACAAAAAACAGTACAATTAAAAATAAAACAATTGATTTATTTTATATAAATTAATTAATTTTTTAATTACTTTTCCCGTCATTTGAGACAAATCTTTGAGTCTCAATGAAGCCGTTGTGCTCTTTCTTAATGTGAAGCGACAGCTCTTCGGCATTGGGAAGTATTAGGTGACACACTGGACACGAACCCACACCGTCGGCCATCATATTTGAATGCTTCTGTAAATTATATAATTTAAATAATTAATATTTTTTATATTATTATTATTATTATTAAAGAATTAAGATAAAAATAAATATAATCGTCAAATAAATTAAATATTAGTTTTTTTATATACATGTATATATATTGAATATATTAGTCAATTTTGTTAATTATGTAAAAATAAAAATATGTGATTAACTTAAAATTTATAACTCATTTTTTAAACAAAAAATAGTAACAAACAAAATAATAATAAAATATAATTTAATTATTAATTCACTGTTCATACAAGTGTTTTGCTTAATTAAAAATTCATATATTGTATAATTATATATATATTTATAATAATATTTTTGTAATGTTTTTTTGTTGTTGTTGTTTTGTAAATGTTTTATATATATATATAATTTTTTAAATAAGTTTAAATTATCATATTTTTATGTATATTATTATTTTATTTAAAAAAAAACAAATAAATTTTATATATAAAAAAATATAAGTTGCTCTTAAATGTTAAAAATTTACACATTATTATTATGTGACTCCTTTCTACTAAAAATTATTTAAAAAAACGATAATAAAAACATATTTTTATTATAATTATAATAAATATATATATAAAATAAATTTGTAATCCTATTTTATAAGTCGTTAATATATATAAAAAGCTAATTACAATATAAAATATTCATTAAAATATCATATTAGTAATAATAATAACATAAAGCATTAAAATATATTTTTTTGACAAAAAAAAATAATAAAACTAAAAAACATTTTACATAAGTTATTATATAAAATAAAAGTGAATCTAATGTTTTTTAAAACAAATAATGAGAGAGAGAGAAAAAAATTAAACACACATTTTGTAAGCAAATTTGTTTATATATTTTTTTGAAAACACAAAAAACCTGAAGAATAATTTGAAAAATTATTATTATTTATATTTTATTTGTTTTTATTTTTTACTAAAACAAAACACACAAACAAAACAAAAAAAATACAGGATTTTGAATAAATTATTGTGTGTTTTTTTTGGAGTCAATTTATTAGCAAATAATTGAAAAATATAGACATTTATTAGCAATAAATATTTTCAAAAAAAAAAAAATTATATATAAAAGTTATACTGGAAGAGATTAATATTATATAAATAATATATATATATTTATAATAACAAATAAAATATAATGATAAAAAAAATAATAAAAAAAAATTCAAAAAAAAAGTTAACAAAATTTCAAAAAACGAGTTTCAATATATATATATACTTATACTTATAATATGAACTCTATTTAGAGCCAAAAAACTATGTTTAATAACCCTTTTTTCTGAAAAAATCATTAGACTTACTAAATATATTATGTCTGAGAAAAAAATGTTTTAATAAAAAAAATAAATAAATAAATATAACAAAAAATAATAAAATCAAAAAAGATTAGAAACATTAGAAAAACAATAAAAGCAAAAATATTTTTCAAATATTAAAAATAATTATTATATAAAATAATATATTTATTAAACAAAACAAAAAATTATATACAGTATGTCAATAAAAATGCCAAATAAAAAAATAATAATAATTTTGTTATTAAAAGTTAATTGTGTGTAAATAATCAAATTATTTGATTACTAATCAATTAAATAGATATTATAATATTTTTTTCTACTAAAAATACACGTTATATAAATGCAATGAAAAATTATTTTATAAAAATAATTGTTATTTTTTAAAAATTCTTTACTTTTAGAAAAAAAAAACTAATTAATTCAAAATCGTTTCAACAAAAAAAAACAAAACAAAAAAATCTTAAGAGACTGAGTGAGTGTATGTATGTATGTATGTATGTATGTGTGTGTGAAAGGAGTGGGGTCTCGGATAGTAGGGTTGAGTCCATTACCTATTGGAAAGGAGAGGTAACCCTTTCCCCTAAACCAATAACAACATCAAACAGGTGTTCAAATAACTTATGTAACAATAAATGGGATTAAATTTATATATATATATATATTTCTCGTTTAATATTACTAACTCATAAAACTTATATTTGTATATACATTATATAAAATAAATATATATATATATAAATGAAAGTAATATATATATATATATACTGTATATCTATATATTTATTTATATAATAATAATAATAAAAACCATTTAGATAAGGAAACTTGTAGTAGAAATTATATTTCATAACATTTTTATATATATTATATTAAATTTTTTTCAGACATTAACAACAACAACAACATCGACGACGACTGCAATAACAACAACAACAATAATAACAACAACAACAAAAAATATAGTATAAAAATGCATTAAAAAAACGAGATTAATGCGAGCCATGAAATAGAGGAAAATTATTAGTATAATACTGTATGTATTGTATATATGAAATATTTAAAAAAAATAAAAATGTTTGGCATTTAGGTTTGCGCCGGGATATGGCTTTTGCTGCTGCTATGGAAAGGCAGTGATAGAGAGAGAGAGAGAGAGAGAGAGAGAGAGAGAGAGATAGAGAGAGAGAGAGATAGAGAGAGAGAGAGCCTGACTTTGCTGCTGCTGTGTGTATGTGTGTGTTAACCCATTCCGCATCCCAGACATTGATTGCAAAATATCAGACAGTTATGGGTGGGGTCTCTCTCTCTCTCTCTCTTATGAAAAAAATGGTGCAACTATTTTATGGTTTCAATTAAATGTGTCAATATATATATATATATACAACAATATACACTACTTGTACAGTGTATATAACCTTATAAATGATATTAAATATATAAAAAAAATAAATAAAACAATGTTTCTTATAGTTGAGAAAAAAAATTATATAAAAAAAGTTTTCTCTCTCTCTCTCTCACTACTAGATTAACATTAGAATAGTTAGTATTAAAATGGGATTAAACTATTAACTATTTATTAAAAAAAATAAAAATAAATTTTTATTACTATTAAACTAGCAATTTGTTGTCTGTGTGTGTGTGTGTGTGTGTGTGTGTGTGTGTGTGTGTGTGTGTGTGTGTGTGTGTGTGTGTGTGTGTGTCTATGTCTGTGTGTATGTTTGAGAAAAACCATTTCAATTGGATTTAATTATGAAAAGTTAATGAACTTCTTGTATATATATTGTGCGCGTCTGCGGTGCGTAAAAGTCTGTCTGAGTTTTATACATTGAGAGGAGAGAGACTATAAGAGAGAGAGAGAGAGAGAGAGAGAGAGAGAGAGASAGAGAGAGAGAGAGAGACTGAGAGAGAGAGAGAGAGAGAGAGAGAGAGACTGAGAGAGAGAGAGAGAGACTGAGAGAGAGAGAGAGAGAGAGAGAGAGACTGAGAGGAGAGAGAGAGAGAGAGAGAGAGAGAGAGAGAGAGAGAGAGAGAGAGAGAGAGAGAGAGAGAGAGAGAGAGAGAGAGAGAGTTAGTCCGCATACACTTTCATTACATAAAAATATTTGATAGCATTTATATATATATATAGCATATATAGACTTTGGATTATTTATTATATATAACAAGAAAAATAAATATTGTTATATCAAAAACTAAATGGCTTTTTTCTGCAGAGTCTTAATTCAAACTCTCTCTCTCTCTCTCTCTATGTCTCTCTTTATCTGAAAACTAAAACGTTTCGCACAATCGCTTAAAATACTAATAATAATAATAATAACAACAAAACGGTTCACACAGTGACTACTAATGAAATACTGTATATACATATAGTGAGAGAATATATATATAAAATTTTTTTAACTCTTAATTTTTGTCCAGAAAATAAAAATATAATTTAGTTTAACAAACAAAAACAATAATAAATATTATTATATACAGTATACTACTACTACTACTACTACTACTACTACTATATGTATTATACCGTATTAAATAAAAATAATATCAAATAAAATATATGAAAATAAAATCCAGTGGTACACTAACTGGAAAGTTATTTATTTAATAACAATAATAATAAGTGCAAAAATTTAATTACAATTACAGTATATTATTTAGTATATTTCCTCAAAAAAATAATAATATTTATAATAATAATAAATAATAATAAAATCCGAGACATTTGCGATTCAATAGGTTTTCCTCATTTGAATCACCGATTTTTTTTCAACGGATTATTTCAATTAGGATTTACATGAAAATCAAGGCCAGAGGACATACACCTCTCTCTCTCTCTCTCTCTCTCTAACCTAACTCCCGACTAATAATAAAAACTACAGTCATTGACAACCAATTAGATTATGACGACTATGACTACCACGACGACAGACGACGACGACGACGGCTAGGATTGTTAGCCGACAATCAGTTTTATCAACAAAAAAATAATAATAATAATAATCAACAAAAAAAATCAAATACCAAAAAAAATTGTTTTTATATTATTATATACCCCATAATATTTTATAGGGATAAATAATTTTTAAATTTTAATATATATATATATATTTATTTTTTTTCCACGTATATGTAGTGTATATATGCATAAAAATAATTATTTTTTTTCGGTAACGGAAGAGTTAGACAGCATTTGTTGTGTGAATAATATATTTAAAAAAAAAAAAATTATATATTATATTATATTATCGTATCCTTGAATGAGTAATATTTTTTGGTATAAAGTTTTTTTTGCCAACAATAATGATAATAATAATTATTATTATCACTACTATTACACTATTATATTGTAGTTGTCATTTAAATATAGTATACTATCTATATATATATATAAAAAATAATACTGTATATGAATACAAACTAAAAAAATAAAATAAAAATCTTTTGTCTATAAATTTTTATTTAATTTATTTAATTTTTTGTTTTTTTTTCATTGAATTACTACTTATATTACTATCCAATGATATAGCGAGATGTTTGTTCACCAAAAAAAGAAACACAAAAACAAATAACAAAAATTATTAAATAAAAAAAACAAATTAAAGCCGTTTTTATAATAATAATATTATAATTATTGAAAAACATATGCGAAAACAATTCAATATATATATATATATATATACTGTATTTATCCAGTATTTAATTCAGATATAATACAATATATATATATTAACACTTGACTATCAGCTAAATAAACGGCTTTGAAAAAACATGTATTTAAAAACTATAATAAAATAAAACAAAAACAAAACACAAAAAAAACTTACTAAACTTAAAACAAAACTAAAAAAAATAAACTGGAAAAAATCATTATAAATTATTATATATATATATTTATATACGTTTATATAAAAAATTTTTTTTTTTTTTTTAATAATATCGTTGCTTTGAAAAAAATATATCTAATCCTATAATTACTTTCAAGCTTTTGCTCCAATTTTTTTTTCTCTCTCTCTCTCTCTCTCTCTCTCCTCTATATTCACTCGTTTTTTTATTTGGTTGTATTTTTGTTGTTGTTATTGCTGTTTATTATTATTTGATTTTTTTTCTTTCAATATAAAGTAATAATAATAATAATAATGAAAAAAAATATAAAATTAAAAAATATATATATAAACCTGTATAGAGTGTGAATAAGAAAATGTTTTGATAAATTTTTATTACTTCTATAATATTATACAAGTACTGTATATAATATAAAGTATATATAAATATATATATTTATACAGTATTATACTGTATTATATTATACAGTATATATATATATGTATTTTTTTTAATAATAATAATAATAAATATAGCATAAAATTATTGAGGGATGACTTAGCAAACAATTCATTAGACGCTAGTTTTTTATCATCAATATATTATATAAAATATACAGTAATATCTTATATATATATATATATTGTATATAAATATCTTTACAAAATAAAAAATTTATAAAAAAATATTTTTTTTAGTATAATCATTGTATTCACAACAACAACAACAACAATAACAAAATACATGAGACAATAACTAAATTTTTTTCAACAACAACAAAAAAATAATAAATATAAAATAAAATTGAAATCCAGTTTTATAATAAAAATGTTTGTATATATATATATAGATATACTGTGTATGTATGTACAGTAAGTTATATAATATAATACTACAATACACTACCACTACTACTACTGTACTACTAGTTTACAACTATTTTGTTTGACTTAAGGAATGCCCAGTTTTTTTTGCTGTCCAATCAATCAATTGTCTGACATATTAGAGATGCCATATTTGTCTAAATTTGCTCTCTCTCTCTCAAAATATGCCCCCCCAAAAAATTTTTTTTTAAAAATAAAAATTTATATATAAATATATACCATTGTTTCCCAAAAAATACTACTACTACTACTAATAATAATAATAATAATAATAACAATATATGATAAATATTGAACAGAAAATTTGTTAATTTAATAGTTAACACTTTATTACACAATTATTTTTTGTTTAATGTATTTTATTTTGTTTTGTCGATTATATTACTATTATTTTGTTTGTTATTTCTATTTTACTGTATTATCATCATTGTCTGACACTATATATATATATAAAGTTATATATATTTGTATATATGATATGGCAATTGTCTCGTTTTTTTTATTAAAAAAAATTAAAATAAAAAACAAAAAGTTTTTTTTTCATATAAAAAAAACAATTAAAATAACAATAATTTTTTTTCGTTAAATACCTTTTGCTGATGAGTGGCTAAACTGCTCTGTCCTTTGAAACCTTTGCCGCAATGATTGCACAGATATTTCTTTTCATTATTTTTGGCCACTTTATCGATGGAACAATGGCTACGCATGTGCTGCTGAAGATTGGACAGTTGGATGAACGCACGGCCACATTCGGGTACCGAACACTTATAGGGCCGTTCGCCTAAATAATTAAAAACAAACAAAATATATATATATTGAGACAAATATTTTATATATATATTACAAGGATTTATTACATTAGTATACTGTATATACATGCTATTAGGCATGGTTCACATATTACGTTCGCACTTGAGGGGAGGGGGGGGGGTTAGCCAAAGCGAACTTTTGCGAACGAGGAGGAGGGGATGGGTAGAGACTTTAAGAACGTTCGCATTTAGATAATATCTTATATCTTGTGGTGGTGGGGTGGGGGGGTGTAGCGGTTAGGGATAAGCGAATGTAATTTTTTAAAATGACTACATGCGAACATAGGGGAAGGAGGGTGTCTAAATTTCTTAAAAAAGTGCGAACGTAATATGTGAACCACCAATAACTGTCTTATAGTATTTAAGACACAGAGACAAAAATCACTGTTAGATCTACTAATGTGTTGTTAAACAATCCGTAGACAACTAGATTAGGCCCCTAAACACTGAAGTGCCGACAAATCTTATTGTTGTCGTTGTTGTTGTTGTTGTTGTAAACTATTTTTTGATGAATCTATAGTATAGTTTATAGATAGGGCTCTCAATTGAGTGGTGGATAATCTTGGATATTGGTGTCTCTCAAATGTATATTAAAAAAAAAAAAATAAAATAAATACAAAACAAAACTCGTATATTATATTATAGTTTTTTTGTTGTTGAATGATCTCAAACTCATACATCACATTACAAAATACTAGTCTATCTCTCTCTCTCTCTCTCTCTCTCTATCCTTGTTATTGTGAGTGTCTCTCACAACCAGATTGAACACACATTTGGTGGTATACTTCTAGTATAGTATTGATAGTTAGTATTTAGTCAGAAAAGCAACCAACAACACAAACAAAAAATTGGGATGAAATAGATGAATGGGAGTATATTTTTTTTATATGTATGGACTGAACATCAATCACTGTCACCAAGATTTGTACCAAAGAGAGAGAGAGAGAGAGAGAGAGAGAGAGAGAGAGAGAGAGAGAGAGAGAGATGAATGCAAAAAAAATATTAAAACACATATTAGTGTACAAAAAAAGACATAGACATCATCGGGAAACTGATTTGATGTTCATCTTCGGTGTTGCTATTAGTAGTAGTAGTAGTACTGTATTATTGGCTAATATATATATATATAAAAACTAAACAAAAAAGTTTGCGATCAAAAACTAAACCTAACTTTTTTTTATATTTGGGAGAACAACACAACAACAACAATGGGAATAATTGGGTGAAGAAATGGTAGGAAATTAGTAGACAAATAACCGAAGATGAAAAAAAACAGTTAGATTTGTGTTGTTGTTGTTGTTGTATATTATTAACTGATAGTCAATGGATGTCTTAAAGAGACTCGGAATGTATTTCTCTGTTTTTTTCTCATTCATTCAGTCATTTTCTTCGTTCATTATCTGGTGATCATCTGTTCTGAACATTACATTTCGCTCGAGTCTTCACTCATCCACTGAGAAGACATATCCTTAAAGAGTAACACCCAATAACTACCGGCGCGCTCACGGGATTCGCTAACTTCTTCTATCAGTTGACACCACACACACACACACACACACACACACACACATACAGATAGATAGATAGACACAATCACTTCGCGCTTCTTCATTGGTAACCGGTGTTTGTAATAATCAAAGCGCCTGTGTCTTGAATGGTACGGTGTGTGTGTGTGTGTGTGTGGGTGATGGGTCTATGAGTGGGTATGTGTGTGTGCGAGACATTAACTGCTAAATATACTGTATATATGATATAACTGAGCCGACAAAACACATTTAAGACTAAGACGTGTGTGTGAGTGAGTCTAAGACACGCTATCATCTAATATCAGAGACACATACCATAGAGACCACACAATACATACTCTCTCTCAGTCTCTAATAAAAAGTTATATATATATATAAAGACAATAACAACAATTGGTTTTTTTTAAGAGTATTACCGATAATATTAATCAAATTATTAATATAAAACAATTATTTTGTTTATCTATTTGTGTGTATATATATATTCAATATATCGATAACACACATATATATACACACAGTCTATATACATACCGGTGTGCAGTCGGGTGTGTTGCTGGACATGAGATAATTGTTTAAATTTTTTGTCACAATAACTACATTTGTATGGCTTCTCTCCGGTATGTATACGGTTGTGTTGGGCCAACTGATGGCTCGATGTAAATGACTTATTGCAGTGTTCGCAGGGATGGCATCGACGTATGGCTGCTGATCCCACACCGACACCACTAGAAGACATTAATACTGTCGTCGACATCATCGTCGCCGCCAATAGTGTCATAAGAAAAAAAAATATAACAAATAATACAAAAATTAGATAAAGTTGTCAACAAAAATAAATAAATAAATAAAGTATATTATAATTATTATATATTATATGATAGCATATCAGCAAAAAAATTTAAAAAAAAAATCAATGAATAATTCAGATTTTCAATTGATATCAATAGACTTTATGTATGGTCAATGAGCTTAAAAAAAATCAATTAAATATGGCTAACATGTGGTGGTCAACAATCAATTGATAATACATTGTATTTTAAATATATATATATTAAAAAAAAATTAATCGTATTAAACAAGTTTTGTTTGTTTGTTTGTTGTATGTTTCAAATAAAAAATTTTTTAAAAATGGTAATAATCAGTTTACAAATTTGCATGTTTAACAAACATGTATAATAAATAATACTGTGGATATAAATATAAACATATATATATACACACACACATACATTATATATATATATATACATACAATAAGTGTAAATATAAAAAAATAATTATATAATAATAGACACATTATTTCAATTGATTGCTTAACACTATAATAGGCTAATAATAATATAATAATGTGATAATGAAAAAAAAGTCTATGAGATTCCGGGCGCTAATTAAATAGATTATTAGATATTTGTCAAATAAAATAAAATATTATACAATAATAATAATAACAATACTAATAGAAAATTATTTAATAGACATGTTTAGCAACTAAATACATACATATCATAAATAATAAAAAATTATTTAATTATAATATAATTTAATTATAATAGCAAATCATAAATATTTAGATAATAATAATAACATAAAACACAATATTATATATTAATATATATTTTTTTTAAACCAATCATTCAATTAACAGATCATTAGTTGTCTACACACATACACACACAATGTATTATCAAAATTGAAGACAACAACACTAAAAAAAATTATTATCATATACTGTATCATAATTTTTTTAAGTGTAGTAATGTTTTTCTCAACAAAAAAAAATAATTAATTGAATAAACATATAATTGTTATTATTTTTAAACACATAAATAATTATGTGTAATATAATTTTTTTAAACACACAAAAAATTTTACGACAACAACAAAATCACTAGTAATAATAATAATAAATATAATGATATTTATAATATATATATATATATATATATAACAAAACACAAACACTTATACACACAAAAAAAAACAATTGATTGTCGACTATATATAACTATAACTATAACTAATTGATTGGCAAATAAAAAAACAATATATCAATAATTTTTTTTAAAAAATAATAATATAAAATAATTAATATAAAAATATATATATTATTTTGATATAAATATTAATAATAATTAGATATAATAAATAAAAAAAATTATTAATTACAGCGAGAGTTAGTCATTGGGATATATATTATTTTGTTTAGTCAATAAAAATATATATATATATATCATATCATATTATAATATATACTGTATATTATTATTAATAATATATTTATATATATAAAACACTACTTTATTTCACAAAAAATACTATCAAATAATAATAATAAATGTTATGTAATGTAATGTTATGTCTGTTTGTAGTGTTTTTGTGTTGTGTCAGACATAGGCAGACAACGACGGGAGAGCACAGACACACACATACATACAGTACATACAGACATACAGTAAGTATACTAATACTATACATACAAAAACATACACAGAGTTTGCGATATACAGACTCTCTCTCTCTCTCTCTGTGTTTAATACACACACAGAGAGTATGAGAGAGAGAGAGCACAGGCAGTGTGTTTAGTGTCTATGCTATGGATTTACCTTAAAATGGGTGTGAATTTCAATATACTGTATATATATATATATATATTTTGATCACAAGAGAGAGACTTTTATTTCAAGACATCAAAATGAATGACACAATCGATTCAGTTATATAGTAGAGAGTAGTATATAGAGAGAGAGGGATGTGCTGGTGGTGTGTGTGAGTATATATATGTTGGCTCTGGTATGTTGTGTGTGATGGTAGCGGTGGTGGTGGTGGTGATGGTGTGTGTGTGTGTGTGTGATGATAGCTGGTCTCTCTCTCTCTCTCTCTAATAAAAAAACACAGACACACTGTATTATCATCGACAACGACAACGACAAGTCATAGTCTCGATATTGTCTTTATCGCTGATGAGAGAGCATTACCGCCGATGAGATGGTCACTAACACAGACAGACAGACACACACAGGAGAGACACAGGAGTTAAAAGATAGATACAGTTTTTACACTGTATTTACTACACTGTAGTAGTAGTAGTAGTAGTAGTAATGTTTGCCGACAATTACGGCCCGAGTATTGTATAATACAAACAAAAAACACATACACACTGTGTGTATGACTGACTCCTATACGCTCCTCACTCTAGACTACAGTACAGACAAATCAATTTAAAAGTACACTATATTTGTTGTTTAAGGTTATTATATCTACTGTACTGTATCTCTCTCTCTCTCACTCATACACATTGTATGTATGTATATATGTGTGTTGTGTCGACATATTGAGTACTATTACTACTACTACTACTATTATTATTAATAATATTACTACTACTACTACCAGAGCGCTATTCACATTATACAGGCATACCAGTGCTCTCTATATGTATATTCTCTCTCTTTTTCTCTCTCTCTCTCAGTCTCTCTCTCCCTATACTCTCTCCCCTAGTCTATCATAGACTCTCTCAGTCTCTCTCTCTCTTTAATAGTAAGTCTCTAAAATATATATATATGTATATCTTTTTGCTAGACTACCAATGCCTTTAAAAAATGAGTGCTCCCTCTGTTGTATCACGATTTCAAACCAACCAACAAATCCAGTGAAAAATATTTTTTTTTAAAATTTTATTGTTATTAAAAAAACTTTTTTTTTCTCTCTCTCTCTTTTCGCGAGAGAAACACAACAACAACAACAAAATCAGTCATTAAAACATGTTTTTTCTAAATATCTCTCTCTCTCTCTCTCTCTCTCTCTCTCTCTCTCATTAAACGTGTAATTAAGTGATCAAAATTTGGAACATTGGCTCCGGTGTTGACCCCACTATCCAAATTTTTTTTTATACATATTATAACCAGTCAGACCCGCAACTATAAGCTAAACTATCCAACCAAACCAAACCAATCGACTAAACCAAACTAAACTATAGCTCCCTGTGCCCAACAAATTATTCCCTTAATAATATCAACTAAATAGAGCTGATAGACAATCAGTGTGGATATCTCTATCTTTCCTCTGAGAGAACCCCCACCTCTCCATAGGGTCAGAGAGAGAGAGAGAGAGAGAGAGAGAGATCCCATTAGACACACTGTTTTTCAATCGGACTAATATATGAAGATCTCAGTACTGAATAGACATATCTTTCGTTTTTGTTGTTGTTATCTATCAATATATTTGTCGCACAGAATATTCCTTAAATACTATATATATATAATGAATCACCGAATGTCTTGAAATTTTTTTTTTAGTTTTTTTCTAGTGTTTCGACGGCCAAACAATTGCTTTTATTATAGCCATATAGCCATAGACTGATTGATAATCGTATATATATACTGTGTATATATATATATATATATATTATATAAAACATGAAACAGATTTTCATATTTTTCCTAATCTTATATCTAAAATCTAATCAAAGAAAAAATGGCAAAAAAAAGTATAAAAAAGAGATACCACTTCTCTCTCTCTCTCTCTCTCTCTCTCTCTCTCTCTGAAATAAAGCCAAAGTAACAAAAAAAAATCACCAAAAAAAAACAACTACACGACTATTAGGAGGCTGTTATGTGACTCCAATATTTAGAGTATAATGATTTTTTATTAAGAGTATATTTTAATTTTTTAAAATTTTTTTATTATCATTTTTTTATAGTTTTTATTTTTGTTAATAATTTTTTTCTTGTTATTTATTATTTGTTAATATTTTGTTGTAAACTTTAATTGACTGCGAATTAGGGCCAAAGCAAAACCAAATGGTAATAATAATAATAATATTAATAAATATTTTTTTGTTTCTCTCTCTCTCTCTTTCTCTCTGAAACCAATTTTCAAAGTTAATATCAATTTTGAAGACAAATTAAGTCAAATATATTAAATATATACTGTATATATATATATATATATATATATATTATAAATTAATATATATATATATATACTATATCTATGTTTGAGTTAATGCCAAAAGCATGACCTCATGAGCGACACAAACATAATAATCATTTTTTTTGGTTGTAGTAATTATTAATGATATTTTTTTTTGTTGGTTTGTTAGCCCAAAATCAATCAATTGATACCATTTGCCAGAAAATTATTATAAAAACTATGCCTTATATATATATATATATTATATCTGATGATAATATAATATAATTGATGTTAATTATCAATTCATCAGCTAATTTATGATAAAAAAAATATGATTGAAGACATTTATTTATATACTTATAAATTTATAGTTTATATTTCATTTTTTAAAAATACTATTAGAAATTAAATATTATTTATTAATAGTAAAATTATTTTATTACTCAAAAATACATTAGTATATTTTATTTCACTTTTTTTTAATAAACATAACTAAACGATAATATCATTAATGATAGTAAAATATTTTAAAAGTTTGCAATTTTTGTTGTTGTTGTTGATTACATTATCAAAGTTTACTTATGGACCATAAGTTTTAGTTTTTTTAAAAAATTATTTTGTATTAATCATTATGATATTTATTTATTATTGTTATTAATTCAGTTATAATTTAAATGACAAATTAAATTACAAACAAAAAATGATAATTATAATTTTAAACAATTATCCAATAATTGTTAGTTGCTAACTAAAATTGGATATTAATATCAATAATTGTTTAGAATTTACATTAAGTTTTTTTTAAAAAAAACGATATTAATAATAATTAAAAATTATTAGATAAGACTATAATAAATTAAACAA